AACGGTTTTAATTGAGTTGATGTACTAAATGTGAATCCACAATTTACTTAGTGGCAATCAACCTGTTCTGCCTCTACGCCGGATCAGGAAGGACGTCAGTGTCGCACATGTCAAACATGTCCAACAGTGAATAGGTGCGTAGGTGGCCAGGTGGCAACTACTGTGCTTCTTGCCTCCAATCAATCTACGATAACAAATTATATTAAAAGCTCTATAATACAATTGCTTATTCACATTGCTCTAGATACACTGAAAAACTCGGGATTAGTTGGTAAGTCTAGACGTTGCTGTCACCTGTCTTGTTTTCGTTCTCTGGGTTATCCTGATTGTGCAAGTCTTGGACATTTGCATTCTCACTTTGGTTTGCACTTGCATTCGCATTCGCATTGGAATCGTCATTTGCACCTGCACCTACACTCGCACCCACACTCCCACCTGCACTCAAATCAGCATCCATATTCGCATTCTTCTCTTCCTGCTCCAGCCTAATGCGAAGGGTGCTACCCCAGTGCGAATCGATGACTCCCTTGCCCATAAACTTGACAAGCTGGCCGAAAATGACTGGTCCTATGATAGTGTTCCACGCCACAGCCCAGATACCGATCAAGTAAGTCTCTGTATCCATGACTGTGATGGCATTCGGCGAGCTAGCATTCGCTTGGGATGTTGTCAGACTGACTTGCAAGATCAAGACTCCTATCTCGCCCCTCGCCAACATGGCGCTTCCAAGCAGCAGACCTGCTACCCAGCTATCTTTGTTGGGTTTGCCCAATCCCCATTTAGTCTTTCTCTTCTTGTTTTCCTCGTCGCCCACAACGACTGTCTCTTTGGAGACACAGTCGCGTATAGGGATCCATATCCCGACGAGCAGCTTACCGATAAGCATGAACACACTGTACACCAAACCCTGCCAGAATCTCTTGGCGGTGAAGAGATCGAGGAATGGTATGCAGTAACCGATAGACGCGAAGAAAATAGATGCAAAGTACCGTTTGAGGAGTGGTTCGAATATCTCCTCGAAAATGTGTTTGTAGTTTAGGACATCATCGCGGTTAGATGGCCAGACTACGAGCGTCATACCGGCTAAGAAGGCACCGAGAAGCATAGTGGTGTCCGTCTTAGCAGTGGTTCGATGATCTCTTCAAAGAGGTGTTTATAGTTGAGGACATCATCGCGGTTGGATGGCCATACTGCCAGCGTCATTCCAGCAAGGAAAGCACCGAGAAGCATAGTGGTGTGTATGTAGTAGCTGATGGCTAAGTAAGCGGCTAGGACGAGGAAGCCGACAGTAACGCCACCTCTATATCCACCATAGTGGGTGAGGGGGCGCTCAATCCAGCGTCTGTATACCGGTCTAAATGCGTATACGACGATGGGAGATACTATGGATAACGCGACAGATGCAACGATGGGCTTGCCAACGATCCAACCCAGCGTGCTGTTTGAGCCACTGCCGAGAGATTGGATGACAGTGAGGAGGACGAGAGCGATAACATCGTCGCTGGGCGCTTATTAGTTTAACAATGAGCATAAAGAATCAACCCACCTCAATGCTACAGCAGTTAGCAAGGTACCAACCCTTGTCGCTTGAACGTTGATACCTTTCTTAGTCTGACTCTGCAAAACGAAGAAAGTGGTTCCAAGGGAAGTTGATGACAGGGCACAGCCCGCGGTAAAGGCATGGATTATAGGATATCCGAAGGCTTTCCAGAGGATGGCGAAGGAGAAGGCTATGGGGAGAAGGACACCCCAGAAAGCAGCGACGAAGGCGATAGGGATGGCTCTGTGTGGGGAGTAAGTGAATATACAAAAAGCAACTCGCTACATACCTCACGAATACTTGAGCATCAAAGTCCAAACCACCCGAGAGGACGATGAGAATAAGACCGAGGTAGCCCACAGTCAGCCAAGTCTCTTCCCATGATTCTGGTAAAATACCCGCGAGAGGACCACCGAAAATAATGCCCACAGCGATCTCACCAAGCAGACCAGCCGACAAGACTAAATCGGCGATAATACGCGCGAGTTGCAAGCAAAAGTAGAAACCAAGAAGAACCAACAGAGGACCTGTTTGGACCATTGTTGGTTCTTCATAAGTAGTTATCGAATTTGAAGCCATAACATGTAGCGTGTGTTTTCGTGTGCCGTCGTCAACGTTGAGGAGGTTGGCGTGGTTGTGTAATTAAATTCAAAAATCCAAGGCTTCCCGCGTTGGATTTGGATAATTTGTGATGGACGTTGAGAAGAAAAGAAGCTCGACGTAGCCACAACAGAAGACTTCTTGGCAGGGGAGACTGTCGGGGATTCTGTCGGTTAGACTGTCAGGGAGAATGTCAGGGAAAATGTTTCTTGGTACATTCCGCGGAATTACTGTGTGGTGCAGGGTGGCGATGATTCTGTCACGCCTGTCACGTGGAGTGTGTTATCGCGTTATCCATTCTGATGCATTTGGATAATGCAACTCAGTAGCGAGCTAGCGAGGTGATTAATATACGTCAATCTGTTGAATCACAATGGATGGCGCGGATGATTATAATTTAAAATTCATGTTATTATACATCGCTAGTAGCCAGTATATGCATCGCATTATTCGCTACATACACTCATTTATCTGTGGCACTGAAAGCCTTTGAATTTTTGCAACGCTCAAGTAAATTACAGTAAGAAAAGCATTAGAAAGCAGGCAAAGACGTAAAATATAATAAACATGTATAGAATAGCATTCAACGTAAGCTAGCGGTCGATTCAGATTCAATTGCCGTCCCATTGATTGTAACAAGGTGGTTGGCTGGCCGGACGACTCAAGACATTTAAGCAGCGCAGATCCGTTAGGATGCACAGCTTATTCATAGTCACTGCCAAAAGGTATCATCATTATCGAGCTTAGTTGGAAGGATAGAGAAGAAGGAGGTTTTGTCAGGGCTTTTATCCCCTATTGTAACCCTAGCGTTGAAAATTCTACATAATTGAGAAATGAGAAATGCATAAAGTAATGTGCTCCTCCAATTAAACATCAATAAGGCATGCATATATAGTAACCGTCTCGATAATCATTGGTGGATAGGACCTCACATCTATCATCACTAGCCGAATTAATATCCTCATCCTTGTAGAGAATATGGTATCTGCGGTATAATAGTTTGTGAAGTGGTTTTCACCGATCTTAATGTAAGGAGAGTTAAGATCATCTCTAGTAGGAAGACCACGTATTGGTTGCACTGGTTAAATCGACAAGCAGAATGTCCGAATGGTCTAAGTCGCACCATGTATCGTCTTAACAATGTATTAAGATTTCATCATCGTCATCATCAGCACTGGTTAAATCATAACAGATTTGTTAAGTCTTTACTTGGTGAGTATTGCTTTGTTTCCAAGTGTTTAGATGTTGTTGCTCCATGTGTCTCTGTCATCGCTGTCGGATTTGATTTTAGGGGAAAGCACCGCTTAATAATTAATATCAGTAGCCGTGCATGCAACGAACAAGTAGAAACAAATCGAGAGTTAAGACGGATCAATTTGGTTATTATGCCCTAATGAAACTTAATCATGAATATATCCACATAATCATAATATGCATTTCAAAGAAAGTACAAAATAACATCCAAAAGACCATCACCAATCAAGCTTCCAGAATGCATCTAAATCCGCCCTCATCATCACCAGAGAGAGGCTCGCATCTGTCATCATTAGACACGCTAATTTCCTCATCTTTATAGAAAAGAGAGATATCGGAGCTTCCGAGGTTTCGGCAGTGGTCTAAACCGATTTTGATATCAGGAGTGCTATCAAGGTCATCTCTAGGAGGAAGACCAACGTATTGGAAGCATTGGTTACCTCTAACTATGAATTGGTTTTTAGGGGTAAAGTTGTCGGGGTAATGTTGCGTGTTCAGGCTGGTGTAGATGCTGTTATTGTATCCTTGATAGCTGTCGGTGGTGAGTGCCTTTTTGATGAGCAGGGAAAACGAGTTTTGGGGAACATCTCCGTAGGAGTCTGACCAGGCGAGGGTAGTTGTGATAGTGAGTGCGAGAGTGGCGAGGTTTGTGAGTGAGAGATGCATAATGCGTGTGCAGGTTGAAGAAGAAAACATCAGTTAAATAAGTAATCGGGATCAATCAGTAGCTGTGCAAATGCACCCGAGACATTTCGTAAAGAGGTATATTATATATTCAAGGAACAAATCAAATAAGTCTGCGATCAGTCATAACTCTAACAATACTACCAGTTCCTGCAACCTGAGTGAGCTTCTCATGCCAGCTGAGGAAGACGTTTCCAGAGGAGTCAGCGATGGGGAGAGACATAGACTTGTAAATGTATTTCATGAGATTGTCATGGTGGTGCGGTTGCAAGTCCTTCAAGGCCCCCTCAATATCGTTAGTTCTGGTGGAAGAAAGGATCTGTATGATTGAGTTGGTGTTGATCGATTTCGCAGAGTTTTGAGTTGGACCGAAGGGAGGGGAATCTAAGAGAAGCGCTAAGGCTTGAGAGGTTTGATGGCTGAGTGGGGTGTTATGAGTGAATAGGTGACAAGTGCTCGACTTACCTGTTCAAGAGACTTGTAGAGTGCGATTGGAGGGAGTTGAAGTGAGCTGTGGTTTCTTCAGGATTCCTATCATCAACCTCGGCCAGGTCTTGGTCATTGTAAAATTCATTTTCAATTGCGTCAATATCGATGTTTCTGAAGTTCATTTGGTGGTTGAGAATGAAGAAGGTGGGTAAGTGAGGATAGGAAGGGCATAGCACTTATATAGGAGTAGAATACAATAGATATCGGTGTAAGGGATGGGAAGAGTACTTTGTATTTGGAATTGGAGAGGAGTACAAGTGTGGCTCAATTGAAGGATATTCTAAAGAATGAGATGAATAAACAAGGCTCAATGGACATCTACAAGATAACAAAGGAGATGGATTCAAATGACTCGGTTGAATATGAAATGATGGATGGTAGAATGTCACTCAACACACTCAACAACCTGGAATACCTTGTAATTGGATGGGATAATCAAGCACCTGCAATAAACCTCCCTATATTCCATCAAGAAGAATGAATTTATTTACAAAACTTGTTCTGTCTGCCAAACTGAGTTTGTTTGGAATTCGGCAGGTGCAGTTGGATTTGACTGGGATTTCAACAGCATTAGCTTGTAAAAATGTTTAATACTCAACTCACACTCTGTCCTCTATTGCTCCCAGTCAACCTCTCGTCCCTCCTCATCATTACTTGTTCAAATTGGTCTAAATTGTAGCGTGTGGGCTGTGAAATGGGTGTTAGATGTATTTTATATCCGACGCACAACCCACCTTCATGTCATTCCTTGCAAACTTGACGCTGTTCATTCCAACGCTTACAACGCCGAACATGACTGTGATTAGGCCTTGGGGAGTGTTTGAAATGACTTATACTGTATAGCAACACACCTACCAACTGGAATCAACGCTTCGAATGGAACTGGCATCGTCGCTGCGGCTCTGTGTTGATGGTGTATATCCAACCACAACCACAACCACCAACACCTCGAATGCCTTCTTCCAAGCCATTTATATTCAACTCCTACTCACAGCGTAAGATTGCCTTGAAGTTCTCCTACTCTGGCTGGTCTTATAACGGTTTGGCTGCACAGTCTGTACCCACTCCACTCCCGACCGTTGAGCAGACGCTCTGGGATGCTTTGAGCAAGGGCAGGCTCGTTGACGCGTCCAAATCATTCGACTCCGCTGGCTGGAGCAGGTGCGGCAGGACTGATAAAGGTGTCTCATCCGCAGGTCAAGTTGTTGCTTTATGGGTCAGATCAGCGTACACCCCCTACAACGCTCCACACGCTCCACACGCCATTGAAGCTTTCAAGCAACCCACCGCCGCTCGCCCTCCTTCCCTATCCAAGGCACAGCACGCGTCGATCGACAGTGCAGACGAGTCTGAGCGGGACAGTGTCCGCGAGCGTGTCTACAAAGAAGCTCACGAGGCCCAGATATTCAAAGAATCGCAACCACAAACCCACGAGCTCAACTACATCCAAATCCTCAACTCTCTCCTTCCCCCCTCCATTCGTATCCTGGGGTGGGCACCCGTGCACCCCGCCTTCGACGCCCGCTTCGACTGTCTTCGCCGTCACTACAAGTACTACGTGGATCCCGCCGCGTCTCCTCAAGGACCCGGTTTGGATGTTGGGCGAATGAACACCGCCCTCCAGCGCCTCAAAGGCACGCATGATTTCCGCAACTTCTGCAAAGTAGATGCGAGCAAGCAGATCAACAACTTCCACCGCACGATCCACGATGCGTGGATAGAGCGCGAGGAGAACCTCAAACTCCACTGCGTCAATCTTGTCGGATCTGCCTTTCTCTACCACCAAGTGAGGTGTATGATGGCGGTGTTGTTTTTGGTCGGTTGCGGCAAAGAGGAGGTGAGCGTGGTGGATGATTTGATGCGCGTGGAGCTTGACCCTGAACACCCCCACCTCCCCACCGTTATTGGGAAGCCTATCTACGACATGGCACACGATCTCCCCCTCTGTCTATACGACTGTGTTTACGACGACAGCAAGGTGGTGTGGCGCTCGGCGCCTTGTGGGAGCGAGAGCGAGAGTTTGCACTCAGATCAAGCAGACGCCATACTTCACCGCACTCACATAGCCAAATCACTCACCGATCAACTCTTCGACCTCGAACTCAAGTCGGCTATGGTGCGCAACGCCCTCAAACACTTACACCCCACTCTCACCACTCCCATTGGGGACCGAAGCAATGCTACCCCGCTCGGCGGTAACACTTTCGCCATGTCCAAGGCTTCCCGCCCACTCCTTGAAAGAGAGAGGGGAAATACACCCGATGAAATAAACAGACGCTGGAGAGACAGCGAGAAGGGCAAGCGTAGACAGGGCAAGAAAGGCGGTGAACGTGTCGATGGCCATGTGACTGATAAGATGGATATCAGCGACGCAGATGAGTAAATGAATGCATTAATAGATTGTATTGTTTATAGATTGTTTTTAGATTTCTTATAGACTGCTTAAAGACTGCTTATAGACTGCTTAAAGACTACCTCTTACACCCTACACACGCCCACAATACTGATCCATCCACGCAATAGCATCGTTAACCACCTCTCTGCTCAGAGGGGTGGGTCTATCAGCCAGCATGACGTGATTGACATCATGCATAATTCTGAGAGACTTATCACCGCGAGTGTTATCCGCCCGTGCAACAAATTGTCTGCTAGCGTCGCACAAGGTGACACGATCCGCATCACCGTGGCAGATGCGCAGTGGTGTATTCAGCTTGGATACGTCCCTATTGATGCTCTCGACGCCACTCAGTAGTGCCAGTCCCGTACCGATACGCAGCGCTCCCTGGTAGACACGTATATCCGACAGCGTCTCCGCTATTACGCGCGCATCCTCCGTCTTCAATGAGCCGTCTGAACGAATCAGCGGGACGTGGCCAATAAGTGATGCGAGCATGCGCGCTACCGTCTCCACCACCCACGGTGGACGCGTCTCGGGCGATATGCCAAGCATCGGCGACAGCGCGTAGACGCCAGCCAAATGCGGTCGCTGGGGGGTCAAAAGTGAGTGTGAGTGTGAGTGCGAGTCACTTTCGCTTTTTCCCCCCTTCTGCGCCGGTGGGTACTGCAAAGCGTAATTGATAGCGAGAAAGCCTATACGGTATGACGTCAGAAATACGATGGCGCGCACACACGCCACACTCACCACCAAGAGAATGGCCCATCAGAAAGAGTTGCTTATTGGGAGGATAGATGTCCTCTACGACCGACGCTAGTGCGCGCGTGAGGATATTGCACGACGGCACAAAGACATGCAGACCGGACGACCTCCCATGGCCTGGCAAATCAAGCGCCACAACGCGATAACCGCGCCGCACGAACTCCGCCGCATTCGCCACCCACTTCCCCCCGTAATCCCCGTAGCCGTGGACGAGCAGCAGGTCAGCGTCGACGTCACCCGGCGCGCGGCGGGCTTTCTCGAACGTCTGGAATGTCACCCAGCTGTCTTGATGTGAGAGGCGCGCTTCGTCGAGCTCACCCTGCGTAAGCGCTATCTCATGCGATCGTCCAAGCGCCTCGCCCATACGAGTCGTGTAGAGGCGGCGGCGAGTTGTCTTTATGTCGCTGTAGTGCGCCTGGTGCGATAGCTCGTATGTGTGGCTCGGAGGGAGTAGGTAACGCCCGTATGTTGGATCCAGCGGTCGAAATAGCCCCAGTCTCTCCAGTGGTGGCGCTAGAATCTCCCGTAGTGCTCGCAGGTATTGTAAATTCGGTGTCGGTCGCATACTCCACTCTGTTCGCCCACTTTGGCCAGTTTGCCCAAGGGAGAAGACGAGCAGAAGACAGAAAGCGGAAAGAAGAGCGTGGAGTTACAGTCATCCATTGTACAGCTCACCCAATTCATAGATTACCTCAACATTCTAATTAAAGTTGACGTGCATTCAATCGGTACCAATTCAATCGTCGACCGTCTTCTCGCTTCACCAGCACCATACGTCATGACGAAATCGTGAGCAGACACACAGCCAGAGGGCCACACAGCCACACTCACACTCAATTTCACTCTCACACCCACTGCAGCTGGGTGACAGTAGTAACGACGGCGAGCTATGTGAGTGCACCACCACGCCACCACGCCACCACGCCCCCTCACCTCACACACACCAGGCCATCGGCGCCAAAGTCCTCTCAGCGAGTCTGTCGCACTGCAAATCGCAATATCCTCTCCTCGTGCTCGCAACCGAAGCGCTCCCGGCCGACGCGCGTACGCAGCTGCTCGAATTCGGTCTAGAGGTGCGCACAGTCGAGCCACTCCTCCTCGACAGCGTGGCTGCAGGTGCAAATCGCGCTGCTTTTGCGGAGGCGGGCAACAAATTACGCGCATTCGCACTCACCGAGTTTGAGACATTGGGGCTGCTGGATGCGGACACGCTCGTGACGCAGAATATAGACCATTTACTGGCGCATGATACACACGGTGGCGTTGGTGTGGATGTGGATCAACTCGCAATCGCTTTCGCTTGCACTTGCAATAACCGCCGTAAACCATTCTATCCGCGTGAGTGGACGGTGGAGAATTGCGGTCATACACGGTTCTCGCAGACAGACACATACTCACATACACCCCCTTTCACTCACCTCTCCCGCCTCACTGCCACAAATGATGTCGCTCTCAACTCGGGCGTCATGGTCTTCCGGCCGAGTGACAAGGTGTGTGGGGATATCGAGCAGTTCGTGCGCACAAACAGGGAAACTGTGCAGAGCTACGTGTTTCCCGATCAGCAGATCCTGCAGGATGTCTTCCAAGACAGAGTGCGTATCTTGCCGTGGTTCTACAACGCTCTCAAGGTGCTCAGAGTATGCCACAAGCCGCTGTGGGATAATGGCGCATCTAACACACGCGTGAACGTCGTCCATTACATTCACGAAAAACCTTGGAGTAGGCGGTGCGAATCGATAGCCTTTCCAAACAACCTCCCCGCTTGGGATGCAGATGCCGAGTTCCAAGTGGACCCCTCACACGCGTGGTGGTGGTGGGCTCATGATAACCTCCTCAGTCGCGAACATCAGTGGGTGGGTGAGTGAGTTGTATACAAGTAATAGATTTGAATGGATTGATATGAAAGGCTGATTAAGTAGAATATATTACATTTTACCCGATTCTCTTTATTTCTATCTGTCATACCTATCTTGCACTTGATCACCATGATTAGCTGTACTGTTGTAAGTCTGAGACAATATTCGACTCTCATCCTCATGCAGCAACGGCTGCTGCTCGTCGCTGTACCCCGCATGGCTCGCGAGAAGGTATTGTGCTGGCGACAGGCCTATGCCTACTTTTGTGAGGGACGAATTAGATCTTGCACGGATTGGTTTAATGCATGTGGTGTGTGCGGGGTGTGATAAATCGCGTGAGTGCACCTGAACCTGTGCAGATTCTATAGAACACCTCCGTACACACCCACGCTCAAGCTCCTGCTGCTCGCTTTCTGGCGCTCTACAAAGGAAAAAGACGCCACAGAACGACACAACCAGTCCGAGAAGCAGTGTCGGGTACGGAAAGGAGTCGAGGTCGTTAAAGAGGACTGAGCTGGAGAATATGACGGATATTGTAAAGTAGATGTACTGCGTGGGTATGACTATCTTGGAGTGAAATCGATTGAGGGCCTTGTTCAAGAAATGCACCTGTGCAGCTGCTGTGAGGAGAAGCACTATCAACGCGACGTATGTTATCTGATGCGTGAATGCCCCAGCCACATCCTTAACGAGCAGTCCGCTGAGTGCCTTTGTGGAAATAACTGTAAGACTCCCGAAGAGGGCGCATATTAGAATGTCCACGGTAACAGATCGCCGAGCAAAAGTGCTATTTGACAAAGCCATAAGAAGGAAAATGGCAGTGAACAGACAGAAAAGGTATGTTTGGAACCAAGGCCTGTTTATAGCTGTGATTAGGGTGTTGTAGTCGACGTTGTCCTCTCTGGCTGTGTTTGAAGAGACAAGGATGAAAGCCCCAGTAATGCAGAGCATAGAGCCAGCTATCTCTTGCAATCCAAACGATTCTTGGAGGAGGATTGGCGAGAAGATTCCGTTCGCAACCAATGCACAGCTGCCGAGAGGGGCGACTAGAGGTGCTGGGGAGAGGCCATATGCGATAAAGTTGCAGCACTCTCCTAAACTGGACATTGCCAAACCGACCCAGAAAGTACCGTTTCGTAGGTATTGCAAGGTGTCGTCATTTTCCTCTAAATTTGAAATTTGCAGGTGGCTGAGTTTCTGGATATTTAGACCCAGCGCTATAACGACGTTGCCTGCGATGGCCGCTACAACTCCTGCCACATTTCCCTTCATATCAGCGAAAGAGAAGGCATGTGAGTGGCGAGTGATTGGTGGGAGGGGTGCAGAAAATACAACGGCTACAGCGCACAGAGCATAGAGCACGCAAGTCACAGCACACTAGAAATGGCACACGATACTCATTACTCACCAAAATCACACGGACACCCGTACGAATACACCCGATAGCCGTTGCTCATGCTGATCACTCAACTACGCAGCGGAGTCCCGTGAATACGTTCGATCGGTGCGGCTGAATGATTTGGCGTGTTATCTGTATTCAATATTAAACTGTGTAACTCTTTCTATCGATTTGACCATCACAAAGCAAGCCAAATGGATCCATACAACAAGCCAAAGGGACCTTCACCACACTACTCCCTCTACCAGCGTGAGCTCTTTAAGAATGGCCCACAGGGAAAGCTGCCGAGTGTCAGCACGCATCCGTCAAAGTGCGTTTGGGTTGTACTGTGCGCAAGTAAATCCCAAGTATCTGACATTGTATAGGTTACAACACGACGCCCGCAACAATCTCACAAACAACGGCTATTGGTATGCAAGTTCAAGTAAGTGAACCACTATCGACGAATGACGACATGGATTAGCGCTTATCTAACACTAATTTTCCAGACGCTGGGATGGGATGGACGCATGTGAGTGCAAAATCTGGCAATCTTCTGAACCCGCTAACACTCCCCACTCAGCACGCCAACAGAGAAGCTTTCTTCAAGTATCGCATCATTCCTCGCACGCTTCAAGACACCAACACACGTGACCTCACAACCACAGTATTCGGTCACAAAGTACCAGCCCCAATCCTATTTGCACCCATCGGTATAAATAAGATCTATCACCCCAAGGGTGAGCTAGCTGCCGCGACGGTAGCTGGCGAATTGGGGCTCCCCTACTGCCTCTCTACAGCTTCCAGCTACTCTATTGAAGATGTTGCAGCTGCGCACGACAAGTCGGCCGCAGTGAAGAATGAGTCCAACTCGGTCAACGAGTACAGCGGGAGCAAAAGAGAAACTGAATCCAACGCACCCCGTTTCTTCCAGCTTTACGCCAGCCAGGACCCTCAAGTTACTCAAAGCCTATTGCGTCGCGCGTGGCAGAATGGCTTTGATGCGTGCATGATTACCACCGACACCCCTCAACTCGGTTATAGACCGACAGATACAGATATCGGCAACTACGCCTTCTACGCAGGTAACTTGGGCAACGAAATGGGTGAATCGGATCCAGTGTTCATGAGAAAGTACGGCGATGAACTTAAGCACGACCCAGGTCGCTGGATCGACCATAGCGTTTGGCATGGAAAGCCGTTGACATGGCCAGCTGTAGAAGAGATCAGAAATTTCTGGCACGAATTAACAAATGGCAGACCTTTCTTAGTAAAAGGTGTCCAATCTGTCGCAGATGCCGAAAAGGTGAAAAAGTCTCACAAAAAATTGTTTTCCTTTTAACATCCAACTCAGGCTCTATCGATTGGCTGCGACGGGATAGTCGTGACAAATCACGCAGGACGCCAAGTTGATGGTGCTGTGGGGAGTCTCGAGGTGCTCCCAGAAATCGCAGCAGCCGTCGGGCACAAGTGCACAATACTTTTCGACTCTGGGATCAGAACGGGTAGCGATATCATGAAAGCGATGGCGTTAGGCGCACACGCTGTCATGGTAGGTAGAATGTGGGTCTGGGGTTTGTCTACGGGAGAGCCTGGCTGCCGTCATGTGATCAAGTCGCTCCTCGCAGACTTGGACATAAGCATGACTGTCGGTGGCTTCCAATCACTCAGCGACCTCAACCCGGACATTCTCAAACACGATCCTCACTCGACAATGCCCCCAGGGGCTGCTGAGCCATCTATTTTGTATTAAGTGGGTGTTTTGCAGTTTCTGCTTTAGCTCAAATTCTGCGCAACTTTTCATGCTTGCTGTTTGCCCTGTCACCTCCATGACTGAACACAATTTACTATTCTACGCTTATGCCGCACTCGGCGCGCAGGCAGTAGGCAGTGTGTACGCTGGTAGCTGGGGAGCGTTGAAAGTGGGTGTCCGTCCACGCAAATACACCCGCTTACAAGGTCACAGACACCGAAAGCGACAAAGAAGCTGATTAGAGAGAGCAAGGGTGAATTAGAAGACGATGAAGACGAAAAGGATGAAGATGTCTCCGAGAAGCTCAACGCTGGGGATGCAAAGATGTTCCCAATCATCGGCAGCGCTGTGCTTGGATCACTCTTCCTTATTGTCAAATACGTTAGCAAGGAGTATCTAAATATTCTCCTCGGTGGTTACTTTGCCCTCTTTGGCGGTTTTGCTGGTGCTAAATACCTCGACAGCGGTTTCTACCACGTCATCGGATCTAAGCTCTACAATACTCTCTTTCCCAAATGGAGACTCCTTCTTGTTAAAGGCAAGAGCGAAGAAGCTCGCTTCCCTTTCACTGCCTCCTCAATAGCCTTCCTTCTCCTTTCACTTGCAGCTTCGTTTTCATACCTCCTGTTCGACAGACCATGGTATCTCAACAACTTCCTCGGCCTTTCCTTCGCTTGGACCGGCATCAAACTGATTGAGCTCGATAGCTTGAAAACAGGCGCTATCCTCCTCTCCGGTCTCTTCTTCTACGACGTGTTCTGGGTCTTCTTCACTCCAGTCATGGTTTCAGTAGCTAAAGGCATAGAAGCTCCTATCAAGCTCGTCTGGCCTAAGGATGCTGGTATAGCTTTCGTTGCTGACTTGGCCAAGAAAGTAGGACATGAGTGTGCATGTCTCAACAAACTAGTCTCAGATGAAAACCCCGGTTTGACATTGCTCGGTTTGGGTGATATAGTCTTACCCGGTATCTTTATCGCTTTGTGTCTCAGATTGGATCTGCATTTGGCAACTGTAAGACACTCAGAGCAGAAAAAATCAGGTCTACCTCCAACATCAAACGACAAATTCGCAAAACCTTACTTCACGACCTGTTTGATAGCTTACTTTTTGGGTTTGGTGGCCACTGTCGTCGTCATGCACAACTTCAAAGCTGCTCAACCTGCTCTGCTATACCTCAGTCCAGCATGTATTGGCTCAGTCGCGCTTTTGTCTGCTGCACGTGGAGAGTTTAAACAGGCTTGGAGTTGGACAGCCGAAGATGACCAAGAAAAAGACAAAGCGGATGACAAGAAAAGTGAATAATGTTAATATAAATAAATTATTGTATACACTCTCTACTAAACTATCTACGACTCGTCCATTTCTTGCTCCTGTGCCTGCTCCTGCTCTTGTGTCTCGGCTGCTTCCTTTGGATAGTCCTCAGAATGTATTCTCAACACTTCATTGTACCAGTTTTCGAGGTTATAATCTCTAATTAAAGTTTCGAGTCGTGAATTTTCTTCTTGAAGATCGTGCAATATAGACGCAACCTCCTCCTGCGACATAGCTGGGAAACGAGCCAGCAAGTCTTTATCTGTGAGCTTGTTGAGTGATTTTTTAGGAGTGAGGAATAGTGCTTCAGGGTGATCATTTTCAGATGCAAGTTGGATGGTAGCATACAGAGCAGATTGGCGGAGATTCTCACCGAGTTGGTTATCGTTCATACCCATCGTACTACTCAGCGTGACCCAGTCATCGCGTAGGTAGACTCTTCTCCAAATTGATTTGAGTGAAGCGTGTGCGCGTTTATCAGGTACATCCTTCGCTCTCACACATACATCAATCGCCGAAGCATAATCCCCGACCTGCTCATAGAAGTTGTCCTTGAGTGTGAGCAGGTCGACCAAATCTTCAGCATCCAGCGCCTTCCCTGTGAGTAATCCCCTGATAAGATTGTGGAGATGACTAATCAACCCCGATAAATCCAACCTAGACGCTACAAGTTCAGTGATTTTGGCCACCTTGTCGTCTAGTTCCATCCGTTCGCTGCTTTCTCCAGCTTGAAGGAGCTGTGTTTGGAACGAATCAAGTAGTTTACCGTGCATACTGATCAAGTCGAGTTTATCATCGGTAGCTTAAGTATATTATGTCAATTGGATAAAATCAATCAAACCAGTCCTCACCTTCAACCTCTTGCTGTGTTTTTGTGCTTTCGAAAGTATCGATATCAACGTTGGCGATATGAGACAATTTACCCAGACTGAGTAAGAGGTGCTTCGGTGCCAATTCGGATTCCCTTGACGACTCGTCTATCAGCGTCTGGCTAGCATCTATGTAACGCCCTGACGACAAGTCATGCATCCACGCAAAGCGTCCGTTATTACTCTGTTTGAAGAACTTGTAAAGCAAATCGCCATAAGGAAGTTCATGTTGAAATAGTGTCCACAATTTACCTGATGCGATCATTGGGTCAAATGTAGCCAACTGCGAGTCTAAACCACCTACCATTTTCTACGTACCACTTATACAATTCAAACCCGAATTCTTCCTGATATGTATCGAGGTAATACTTGATACGATCAATACTGCCTACACTTGCAGTGCACAACTCTGTGAGAATCCTAAACGCACCATGTCTTTCAGCGAGATCGAAAGCAAAGTCAGCCTTATCTATAGTTACGAGGGGGTGTATGAGGTTAGGGCGGAGAGTGCGATTAAATTTATCCGATAAGACTGCTAATTCTTTCTCCGTTTTAGACCAAGCCTTGAGATAGTCGATGCGATCCTCGTACGACTCTATTGTAAGTTCAGCAATAGAGCAGAGCTGTTGACGCAACTCTTCCTGTTCACTCTGTCTACCAATTAGTTTCTGTGTCGCTTTCGTTGATGGGGCATTCTCGTAATCGGTAGGGTTATCATCGATGCTAGATCCCAACTCACGCGTTCTGTCGCGTAGCAGCTTCCTTGTGCGCTCATAAGTCATCTCCAAGACGTGTAGCATCTTAGTCTTGGCCATCCACGACTCAAAACCTCGTGCAGATGCATCTAAGCCGTATATCTCACTCTGCTGTTGACGGAATTTGAACGAAGGTGAGAGTGTGGCGAGAATGTAACGGTTTGATTCCAGTATCAGTTGCGATTTCTTCTCTATACCTGGATTTGATTCCATGTAGTCGCTAACTAGCCCGCTCATTTTTTCGATGAGCACACCGATATCTTTGACCTGTTAATGGTGAGCAATGAATGATTAAACGCAGTCAGTATAATCGCCTACCTTCTTTTTTAAAAACATGCGCACGATATCCTCTTTCAGATCGGCACCGTTCATGTACGCTTCCACTGACGTCGATAAAAGACTTTCTGTACCGGAATCCTCAGTATTCTCATGTAGCCACAACTCATTCGCAGCAACCAGCTTCTCAGCATCATCGCAGAGTTGTCTACGGGTACTTGGGGCCAACCTACCAAGCAAGCCATTTTCACTAATGTATTGAATAAGTTTGTGGCACCTGATTGAGCGATCGTAGATCTGGGCTCTTAAATCGAGGATAACGGGCATGTTGGCAGATCTGCTGGATAAAATATCCCTACTGACAGACTTGGTAGCCTCTTGCAAATCACCTTCAATGTATGCATTAGGAATGGCAAATGAGATTGGGTTGTGTTCTCTATCGCCGTAGAAAATTGCTTGTTCGAGTCTGCTCTTTAACGTTGCTGTTAGTCTGGCAGCAGGATCGACCTGATTTTTCGAGTCTGACTCCAGCCTATCTAGATCCATCTTAATAGAGATTATACCGCCATTCACAGCGAGTGAGAAAATGGAAGCGGTATTGGATTCAATTGATGCGTGGCCATAACCGATAAATTTGTTGTTGAGGGGGTATTGGAGTGGTAACAACATTGAGTATTTTAGATTGTCGTTTAGAGTTGATATGAGAATGGCATCTGAGAAGACAACAAAGAAGGCAGGACCGCCTTGATGAACGATTAGCTTTGGAGTGGAGTAGGGACGTGGATCAATAATGGCTTGGTAATTGAGATTTATCATGTTATCGACACTCCATGGCTGGGTTGGATCCTGGGTGTGTATGAGCAAACAAAGAGCGTATGATTGAACCTTGTCCTTGTCACCATCATCATTGTTATTAGTTGGTGCAACGTAAGAGACAAGGACAGCTAATTTGCTGTCATTTGTAACGGCAGCATCTAGTATAGATACAGATAATTTGCAAGTGTGCACATCGAGACCAGTACCCGGTATCAAATGATCAGCTATAGAATCGCGAATGTTGTACTGGCCGATGAATTTAGAAGCATTTGATGAAGACGCAGCAGCAGAGGCATAGCCAATTGACCAAACTTGCACGGAACGCTCACCAAGAGCAAAGAGGTCTCTCGAACCGAATTGATCGGGTTTTGAGAGTGCAAGTGCAGAGAATTGTTGAGATGTTGAGTAAGCGGCGGAGGAGAAGAGTCTTGCAAAGACACCTCGTGTCGGAGGGAAGGGTCTAACGATGGGATATAGTCTACCTTGTGAAGGGGCGAGAATGATATGTTTGAGGTTTGTAAAGGAGGTGGTGAGGATGTAATGTGAAGGATCAGACTCAAATAGGCCAGTAACAGACTCAGACTGAGCGAGATCGTTGAGTTGGCCCTCTATAAACCTATCAACGCCAGAGAGGGCCATACCGACGTGTTCCCAGAATCGGTAAATACCGTTAGGGGAGATTAGAAGGAGACCAGGCTCGCGGGAGGTTGCTGGACAAGTGAGAATAGCAGCAGGTAGAGAGGAATTGGACGAATAAGACGAGTGGATGGGAGATGGACAAGGGAAGACGTAAGCTGTGGGGCTGAATAGAGCGCGCTTTGCGTAGTTCCAAACGAAGCATTCGCGTTGAGTGAGTAGGTATGCGAAGCCTGAAGCGTGGTCGAGGAAAGAGGAGACAGCGTCCGTGTATAAGTCTAAGGATTGAAGGGCATGGGATACTTGAGCGGGGAGTGGGGCGTATACTGATAGATTCACGTGATCATCTCTAGCGAGCGTGTGTGTTTGAGAGCTCATCGATGTTTGAGATGAAGGAACAAATAAATTACAAGAAGATTTTCAGGGATTGTTTAATGGATAATTTGAGTGCAGGGTAGAGTAGACTGAGTTGTGCAGACCACCAGTACTTGGACCAGTTATAATAGCGTTCATGATTGGCAAATGACTGTGGAAGCTTTTGAGTAAAAGAAAAAACACGGCAAATCTACTCACCCAATCCCTCCAAAATTGCTGTAAGAGTACCTGCCTCCTTTCACCCTCTGCATCGCCTACAAACTCCTTCAACGCGTGCTCACAGCGAATATTGTTATCTGACCAGAATTTATCATTGAAATTATCTAACTTGCGTCTTGATAGGTCAAATGACAATTCCTCTGATGAGAAATGATCAATTTGATTAGTTGGTTCGTATGGGTGATGTTGCTGATTCGGTGTTGTTGCATCCTCTGAAGCGTATCTGATTGGCCTTAAATGGCTGTACTGTGAAGGCGGACCAATAAGCGTCGCCGGTATTTGCCTGAATGCTATCAATCCATTTCTCATGGCTGTTACTTGACAACTCTCATAACATATGGCCAGTGTGACTCCAGCGAGTCAATCACCGCTAAATGTGAACAATTTCATTAAGCAGTTGAAGTGGTTGGTTGAGCTTTGGTCGTAATACTCCCCTCACTCCCACTTATAGGGTCATCACCGGGAGTGTTATCGCATATTTCACCAAATTACCATGGAATTTGAGTAATTTGTTAAGTAGCGGTGGATGGGAGCAGTGAGTGGTGTTTATTCAGTTGTAATTTTCCTCATTTCCCTTTCAAATCCCTTTAGAACGATTTCAAAGGTCTCAATTGGATTGCTCAGTATAACAACCGCACTATTCCTATATCTGCTGATATGGCTGCCTTATATTAGAAACACTCTACCTGATTATCAAAAATGGCAATCTGAGAAGAATACCAGATTTGTTATCCCTGTGAGTGTCAATTTCAGTCAATTTGAGTCAATTTTCAACAACTAAAACACTCACACAGATTCTAACAATATCAATCCTCTCTGGATGGTCCACTCTGTTTATTGCATTCGCTTCCACCAATTCCATTCTATACTCATTCTTTACTTGTGAGTAGGGTTTATTAGAATATCACACCTCTAAATTTCTCCTAGCCTGCTCTTTGTACTTGCTTGTATTCGGCTCTATCGGTTTAATCCCAACAAAAAGGAGACATGCTAACAAAGACATGTAATTTTTAATAGCGTATATAATAGCGTAAATGAAAGCGCATTAATAACTTATATGATAACATTGCTGTTTTGACTATTATCTGCTTTTCAACTTAATTCACAGCCATAACAAAATTTTAGTCCCCTAAGTACCCCTTTCTAGCCCTCTAGTGATGGGGGTTGGAAAATACGATGAGCAAATTGATTACAACGAGTACACAAGCAACCTTGCCAATACAGCTATCGATATTAGAAGATGCACCCAAGTTCGATCCCAACGACAAAGCCATCGTGGGTTGTAGTTAAATAGCCATACATACACTCACACACTCACACACTCACACAGCCAGCAACAAAATTCCTCGTTAAGCCAATTGGGATGATAATTGTTTGTGCACTTCTCGCTACAGCTGTCTGTCTAGTCGGGTACGCGACGTATGAGCGACGCAAGTACAGGATGCAATACAAGAGGCGAGTGAGGCGGATGAGATTGTTGAGGTGAGCAAGGTTAGCAGAATTTGTCGCTACCATTCAAAAGTCAGTCGATGCACGTAAACGTTAAACATATACACTCCACCCACCTCTTAGTTTTGCTGCGTCTATCGAGGAGTGTCTCATTGAGTTTGCCTTGTTTGACAGCCTGGCTGAGGTGTTTCTTGTCTGCGGGTGTGTATGTGTTGGCAGTGGCTTTTCCATAAGCTTGAAAGCGAGATGTGTGTGTAGCTTCGTCGGGCACGGCGTCAACCCCACTAGCAGCACCAACTCCATCCAGATCCACTTGCACACCACTCCCACTCAACTTGCTAGCTTCACGCGCCATTTCCCGCTCACCAGCGACTTTGTACCCCGCCTGCACTTTGACTGTCCAAGATTCATTGAAACCAACGACATGACTATCAGCGCGCAGGGTGACGCCACCACCAGCTACCTCATCGATAGCGAGGAATTTATCGTAAGACGATAACCACGCTATCGTGCTGTCTTGCTGCACGACTGGTCTCCACTGCTCGTTCGGACCTCTAGCCTCACTGAGTGCGCTGACGCAGCCATGCCGGTCAGCAGCGAGGAATCTCCCGTCAGCCGATCTGAGAGTAAGAGTGTCTGTGCCGCTTAGCTTGCTCGCTACCCACACGCTCGCTATGTCTGTAGGCGTGTATGTGAGCAGCGTGGGGGGTGCGGAAGGTGTGCCACTGCCAGAACCATCGCCAAGCACGTGCATGTGTGGACGCGATAGCGTAGCGTGGAAATTCAATACTGATGGCCCACCGCTGTGAAGTAGCACCGCTGGGCCATTTATATGCATCGCTTCGGTTGCTATAACCCAGCTATTAGATTCCGTAGTTTCTAGCGCCGCGTCGTTGCGTGTTTCTCCACTTTCCTTCTTCAGTCCAGATCCCCCACCTCGCTTTATCTTCTTCTTCCCAGTATCGCCTTTGAAATGAAGCTTTTTCGGCATCACGGTGATGTCGATGGCGTAATGAGAAGAAGGATTGAATTCTTATCAGGTACAAGTTGCACTTGGCAAAGTACACAGTACACAACACAACACAACACACATCAAACACAATACACTACCAACTTAACCAAATAAAGAAAATTTTTCAAAAGACTCAGAATACATCTACTCTTGGTAATCAGGGCGGAGTTTGCGCACCTCCTTGCCAGCTCTCCAAACTTCCTGGTTGTTGATGATTTCCAACTCAGCTTGCAAGTCTTGTCTGTAAGTGTCACGGCCGTTGAACTCGAGCGAGCGTCTAGTCTCGGTACCGTTCCTGACAGACTCGTAGAGCGACTCGAAGACGGGTTTGTTGGCTTCGTAGAACTTAGGTGCCCAGTCGAGCGCACCTCTACGGGCAGTGGTGGAACATGCGTTGTACATGTAGTCCATACCGTACTTGCCAATGAGAGGGAAGAGGGATTGTGTAGCTTCCTCGACTGTCTCGTTGAACGCTTCGGAGGGAGAGTGACCATTCTTTCTAAGTACCTCGTATTGCGCGAGGAACATACCCTGGATACCACCCATCAACACACCACGCTCACCGTAAAGATCAGAGTACACCTCCTTCTCGAATGTAGTCTCGTAAAGGTATCCACTGCCAACAGCAATACCAAGTGCTTGAGCCTTCTCGAAAGCCTTACCAGTAACATCTTGGAAGACGGCAATTGAGGAGTTGATACCTCTGCCCTCCTTGAAGAGAGTTCTAACAGTTCTACCAGAACCCTTTGGAGCGACGAGGATGACGTCTACGTCTTTAGGAGGGACAACACCAGTGTCTTCCTTGTAGACGACAGAGAAACCGTGGGAGAAGTAGAGCGTCTTGCCTGGCTTGATGAGAGGGGCGATATCCTTCCACGTCTGAGATTGAGCGGCGTCTGAGAGCAAGTTCATGATGATAGTGCCCCTGTCGATCGCTTCTTCGATAGGGAAGAGAGACTGGCCAGGGACGAAACCGTCTTCCATGGCCTCCTTCCACGACTGGCCATCCTTACGCACACCAACAATGACGTTGATGCCTTGGTCTCTGGCGTTGAGGCTGTACGAGTGAGAGAGGAATATTTTCAAGACACCGGACTCACGCTTGGCCGTGTCCTTGGGAGCCGTAACCGACCATAGCGAGGGTCTCATTGCCGAGGATTTCATGCAGTCTGTTACCGCCAAAGTCGCTGCCTGGAGAGTTGTTAGAGTGGAGCGCGTAGAATCACGTGACATACGCTCGTAGACTCTCTCGCTGCCACCTTCCTTAGCGAAGGTGATGTCCTTGTAGCCGCGGGTAGCTGATGGCTGTAGGTGGATGAGCTGTGTGTGCTGTGTGTGCTACTGCCTTACGAATCCACTGCGCTGGGCTACAGCTGGAGCAGCTCTGTTGATTGCACCGAGTGCGCGTGTTGAGCGTGTAGCCGCTCTCAAGGCTTGTCTGGCGATCATCGTGTTATTGATGGTGGCTGTGTGTTAAAGAGAGTGATTCGAGAAGACATATGGGAATTGTGATTTGTTGAAAAATTATGAGTCATGTAAATTACAAGTATTATTTAATCAGCCAATCTAATCCAAACAATTACATTTAACTCAATCTAATTGGCTCATTTTTCTCCTCTGTCGTGGCTTCTTCTTTCGGAGTTAGCACGCGAAGAGTGGGGGTGGAGTGTTGGGCGGTGTGAGTAGTATATTTGGCAATCTCAGCAACTCAATTTACTATTCCGATAGGTATTTCATATGTATACCATGTATATCCTGTGTCCTATTTTGCACAACCAGCTCAGTATGAACAGTATGACTTATCAAAGCATTGATTTTATTTGTACACATACACTTACACACTTGATCCATTATCGACATATTCGTCGGAGTTTATGTGTTATCAGCGGTGTTAATTGATAATTGATAACACGCGGTGATATAAATTATAAACCGAAATCCGTTAAACATCACAATCCCAATCACAATCACAATGACATCCAAACTAACCACCGCAAAATACGGCAAAGATGGTGTCAAGTTGTTGAGAATACTACGCAACGGCGACTGGCACGATATTGCAGAATACACCGTGACGGTCTTGCTACAAGGTGACATTCACACTTCCTACACGTCATCAGACAACTCAGGTGAGTTTGGTGTCTATGTAAACGCACCACCACCTCAAACCAACCCCCAGTGATTGTATCAACCGACTCAATCAAGAACACCATCAACATCCTAGCTCAAAACTCCCAGCATGTCCTTCAACCCGAATGTTTTGCTCTGGAGATAGCCCTCCATTTCCTAAACACATACGCCCATATCAACAAAGCCGAGGTGTGCGTTGTCAAGCACCGCTGGACGCGTATCTGTCCGAGTAGCAGTGTACAGCCACATGGACACAGCTTCAGACGAGATGGTGATGACAAGCGCACAGCGAGTGCACTAGTAGATGCAACGGTTTCTTCAGACACCCCTTCTATTGAATTGAAAGCGGGGTTGAAAGATGTCCTTCTACTAAAATCGACCGGTTCCTCTTTCGCGAATTTTATCATAGATTCCTTCACCACATTGAAGGAGACGGACGACAGGGTGTTTAGCACTGTTGTCGACTGCAGCTACACCCTCAACGCACCACAAAATGTTTCAGAGTGCTTCGCCCTTGCTTCTGCATTCGATGAGATTGCTCAGGGTGTGCGCGATATCACCTTGGATACTTTCGCACTCGAGTTTTCTGAGAGTGTCCAAGCAACACTCTTTAGTATGGCGCAGAAGATAGTTGAATATCACCAATTAGTTGATAATGTCAACTACAACCTCCCTAACAAGCACTACATTCCCATTGACTTGTCTTTCTATCAAATGAGTGTCGGTATGACCAACGATGTACTTCTGCCTACTGAACTACCATCGGGGTTGATTTGCGGGAGTGTTTCAAGATTGTAGCTTTGATTAATTTGATTGCTGGTAATCTTTTGATTTTCTATAATACAGAGTTTGTGTATACTTCAACAGCATCTGCATCCTGTTCAAGGGTCTCTATCAGATGGCTGAGTTTTTCTCTTAATTGCTCATCAATCTCAACCCGCTCACCCGAAGCGGGAAGGTAAGCGAGATCGTAAGAGGAGAGGGAGTGACCCTTTTCTTGTAGAAAATGAGCGACGGTAGTGAGTTGAGTAGGATGTGTGATGATCTGTGTGTTGTTTGAGTGAATAAGAAATAAATAAATGAAGAAAAAGACTAACCTCAACTAAATTCGAGGATATTTGTAAGATATCCTCACCACCAGCTTCCAAAGAGTCTTCAAAGAGCTTATCAAAGGGGTTTAAGTTGTCTAAAACCACCAAAACAACGCCTTTACGCTTAAAAAGATAGCCAGAAGTAGCCAAACTACCGCCGACTTTGTTGAGAATAGATTTGACCGAGTGAATGCAGCGTGTAGGGTTTGAAGTGCGGCATTCGATCACCAGACCTATCTCACCGAGTAGAGCTTCGTATGTGACGCTGTGACCTCTATCGACAGCACCGGAATCACCCCTCTTAATAGCAGCTTCAATGTTATCCTTGGGGACTGACAAGCTCTTTGCTTTGAGGAGAGTGTTGGATAGCTTTGCGTTGAGTGCTGGATCTGTAGCACCACCACCTGCTTTAACAGCGGCTGAGATATCCAAAGCCATCTTTGCGAATATCTTTGAACGAACTTTATCAGCAGCCCCTTTGTGGTGTCTAATCTTCGACCACTTGTTGTGGCCGCTGTGAGGAGAAGGGGAAGAAGCGAATGTTCTGATTATCTGATGTGAGGATATCAATGATCTCTTCATCTGATTAGAAGATATAAATCTAATTATTTCATTTTTAATCATCGCTGTTGCAATTTAAGGAGTACAGTCACCATCATCAGCACGACCAGGACCACCAGGATCACGAAAATTACAAAACACATGATGCCACGCGTTCCTCACAAATCCTATCCTTTAGACTTTCCAGTTTACTCGCTCACCTTTATATCCCCGCACTTACTGATTCTCGGCGGTGGTGGTGGATCTAGCTCGAATAGCGGTGTTAAGAATAAGCTTGGGATTTATTCGATAACCCAGAATGAATTGAATTTGAAATTGGCTTATGAATTGGATAACACCGACGACTGTCCTATGTCACTCAATGTTCCTTTGACAGTGCGTCCCGTAATTGGCTGGTTGCTTGTATAGCCTGACACGCCCACAGAACAAGCACTATTTACTTGCAGGCATAAACTCAAACTCTGAGGTCAACGAAAACTGCAGACTCTTCTCCATCGATCAGCAATCTGATCAGATTAATCAAATACACGCTAAACAGACTATCTTTACTAATGACGTCACTTGTTATCAGCGTGTGGCTCATTTCTCTAATGCTTCTATTCCCGTTCTCATCGTCGATGGCAAGTCTACCGAGAAATCAGGTTCACAGCTGCACGCCTTCAGTTATCCTGATATGAACCCAGTTTTACGCGACCCTCTTCAAATTAATGGTGATATTCTCAACGTCACTTTTAACTCTGACTCCTCTCTCCTCGCCGTGGCAACTCCGACCAATGTCTTAATTTTCACTTTCTCCGTCGACAACAAAGAGGGAAAAATTCACTGCAACTTGAATCTCAGTCACACCATCAACCACCCTGCCCTACCCAAGCCCAGCTCTCCTTCTCCCTCCTTCAGACATGCAAATTTTGGCAGAGGTGCACACACAAACAGGCTCTATACTATAACTAATAGCCCCCCTCCCCACAAGAAAAAAGCTGCTAGGCCATCTTTTCTCACTGCGTGGGATGTATCTACCTGGAGTGTAGTTAGGAGTGTGACTTTGGCTGATAAACCCATCACAGCTTGTGATTTATCGTGGGTGATGAGGTATTTAGCTTCTAATTATCACTAACCAACATAATCAAGTGAGGATGGTCAACTCATCGCTTTCGCCAGTGCTGATTTGAGTCTGGGTATTGTCTCAGCAAAGACTTTAGCTGTGAGTGGATCAAACTTTCTAACAATAAAAAGGGCAATTAATAATAATAATAACAGCCCCTCGTGCGCATCCTCTCTGCTCACTCTTTCCCCGTCACTTGTCTCTCATTCGACCCCACCGCCACCGTGCTGGCATCTGGAAGTCCGGACAACAGTGTGCGATTGATACAAGTGCCGCAGGATTTAGCAGCCGGTGGTGAGTAATGAGTGTCTCACTCGTGCATACTAACAATCATACTAACCACAACCCTACAGACTCAGCGAGGGCTTTCGTACACGCACTCGTTATCGCTATCCTCATCGCTCTTCTCGCCGTCCTGTTGCAGTTATACCAGACAAAGTGATATATCAATGTGCATCCATCTACATTTGAGTAATGAGTGTTTGATGAACACCCTCACTTCCTCGCAAAAGTAACCTTGATCGGTTTATCTGCCTCCACGTGGTACTCGTTGAGGGCATCCTTCGCAACAGCCGAGCTAGCTTCATCGAGATACTCTACGAATGCGATATCAGGTCTAGCGGGGATAACTCTCACTTCAGCCAAGTTAGGATACATACCGAACACCTCTTCAAGTTTCTCCTTGGGTGTGCCAGGTGGGAGGTTCTGAATGAAAAGGATAGTGTTAGGAGGGAGGTACTCGTCGGGCATTTGTTGGTGTTTCTGTGCGTTTGTGTGATGATGGGATTGAGAGGATTTACTTGGATCACCCTCGCCTGCCTCACCAGTATTTGTCTGTGCCTTTGCGCGGTTAAGCTGCATAAGACGAATGTAATTCTCCTTGCGTTTGAGCGGTTTCGCCGCTTTGCGATTAGACAAATGCGCTTCCAACTCGGCAGCTTTTTTCTGGCGACGGAGGACGGCGTCTGCGGTGGAACGGGCGAATGACACCTTCATCGGCTGACCGTAGAGAGGGAGGTTCTGGGTGTCGTTAACAGCCCGTTTGGCTACGTGTGCACTGTTAAAGGCTACAAAAGCCTGCCCGCGCATTCTGATGTTGCGGTGAGCAATCACATCCACCACCTCCCCGATGTTGCTGTAGAGGTTTCGCAGGGATTCTTTCAACGTCGCTAGTCTGATAGTCTCGTTGAGATTGCGTATGTAGATTGTTTCGTGGGGATTTTCAGTGTTTTCTGCGGGCGCTGATGGTGGTGTTGCTGCTGCTGTTGTTGCTGCTCCTGGTACTGCTGATGCTGATGTTTCTGGCTGCTCCTCTTCCTGCTTCATTTCAGGCTGAAATTCCTCCTTAAATTCTAAATCCATCGAGTTGCAAGGTGATGATGGTGGGTGACGAAGCGAGAAGCCACAGCTACAGCCAAACCCACTCAGACACGGGTTTGAACAAGCCGCCAGCCATTTTCATTTACATTTCCATGTCATTGCGCTATCAAATGCCTCGATATCCGCCGATTGCATAGTTACAGCGCGCAGTTTCCAAATAAGGGGTGCTGCGTGAGTGTCAGTCTGAACAACGACAACGACGACAACGAAGACAACAACAACGACATCAAGAAGAATGTATCTTTCCATTAGTTTACTCCCAATCCTCCTCCTCCTCGTAAACACCGTTGCAGCAGCAACCGAAACCACCTGCAACGGCTACGACGAGTTATGCAACCGCCGCTATTCCAACATCACCTACGTCGGTGCCCACGACTCCCCCTTCATCGGCAGCGCGCGTAACTCGAGCATGACCAACCAGGACTGGGCGGTGGCTGAGCAGCTCGATCACGGTGCACGTATGTTACAGGGTCAGATACACGCGCAGACAGACTCCTCCCTCCACCTCTGCCACACCAACTGCTTCCTCCACGACGGTGGTGCGCTGCTCGCCTACCTCGACAGCGTCAAGCGGTGGCTCGACGAGCATCCGCGGCAAGTTGTCACCCTCCTCTTCACTAACAGCGACGGTGTGGATGTGGAGCGTGTCGCTGAGCCGTTCCGCCAGAGTGGCTTGCTCGATATGGCGTATGTGCCGAGCGATTCGAATCGCAACTCGTGGCCCACGCTGTCCACTCTCATCGAAAACAATACACGCGTCGTTATCTTTATGGACTACCACGCTAACACCTCCAAAGTCCCCGCCATACTGGATGAATTCGACTATATTTGGGAAGACGCTTTCAATGCCGTTGACGCGTCGTGGCCTTGCCAAGTAGATCGCGGAGACGGCGAGAAGGGCATGTATCTTCATAACCACTACCTCGACAAACAGAAGAGCCTGCTCGGCACACAGTACTTCACCCCAGATATTGACCAGCTCCCTACTACAAACGCAGCTACTGGGGAAGGATCATTGGGCGATGGCATACAGGGGTGCACTGCGAAACATGGCCACCCACCTACTTTTGTACTCGTCGATTACGAGTCTCATGGTAATGGCAGCGTTTATCACGCTGCTGCCGTTGCTAATGGATTGAACTATCACAATCCAGGCACTATCCACCCTCCTAAGGCAGCTAATGAGGAAACTAACAGCAGCAGCAGCACCAGCACCATTAGCATAAGCACAGCGGGAAGCTTGATTGGGTTGCTTGTGGTGCTCATCATAACAATATAACAATATAACCCTATAACACTGATACACGTGAAAATTATTCTTGTTGATGAAATCAGCACAACCACAACGATATACATATACACATACACAGCTGCTATAATAGAAACAACTTTAAAAGTCGAGTGGGAATCTATGCAATAACACAGCCTTTATTCTTCTTGGAATGTCTCGCTGGAGGGATGAGGACGATGCGGATAGCTTCATCGAAGACGGCCTTCAACCCGAGCTGCGACTTGGCGGAGCATTCGAGATAGCGTACTGCTCCAATCTCCTTAGCCAGCTTGGAGCCTTCTGACCAGCTGATTGGGTTCATACCTCTATCTGCCAGTCTCTGAATCGTTAGTCTGTCGTTGCGGAGATCTACTTTTGTGCTGTCGGTGTTTGTGTATGAGTATGGCTGTATTTGTATTGCTCATGATGCGCCCACTCACGCTACTAATATGATAGGGACATTCGGAGCGTGGTGTTTGAGTTCAGGTATCCACTGAGAGAAGTGTGAGTTGGCGTGTATGCTATATGCGTTTACACCACACCCACTTTGTACTTGACATTCTCCAGCGAAGTGGGACTAGCAATTGAAAAAGCAATGAGGAAGACGTCCGTCTGGAGAGGAGGAGTGATGTGAGTGAGATACGTAACACGCAAACACACCAGCACCAACCTGTGGATAAGAAAGCGGTCTGAGCCTATCGTAGTCCTCTTGACCAGCCGTATCCCACAAACCAAGCGTGATTGGATCGCCATCAACGATGACATTAGCGCTGTAGTTGTCGAATACTGTGGGTACATATTCGCCCTGTTTTGGTTATTTCGAGGTGCAAGTACAATCCATCCAACCCACAGGAAATGCACTGCGAATTATGAGTTGATTGTAAATATGTAAATCCAAACAAACTTTGTGGTATATGAGATCAATAGACACGTTTTACCTGGGGTTGCTTCAACACTCCTCTATAGAACCTCGTGCGGCAGCAACTCACCGACAGCACCATCCCCAACGACAACGCATCTGAGGATATTACTATGTTTCCTTCAACAATCACACAAACTCACTTCATAGATCGACCACCAGGCATTTTTCAATGCGCTCGTCGTCGTCGTAGTAGTGATGTAACACAAATATTTTGAATTACTTTATTTACATTATCCCCGTTATTTCAAATGTTTGGCATGGAAGCGCACATGCTCCGCTGCGAATGTCGATATGAAGAAGTAGCTATGATCGTATCCTTCTTCGAGCGTATACCTCACACCGGCCCCCAATCCGCTCTCTTGAGCGGCAGAAACGAAATTCTCAGGCAGCAGCTGGCCCTGGGAGTAGAAGTTGTCTGCGGATCCCTGAGTTGCGTGTTAACCAACATTTGCACGTTGTACAATACACTACACACCTGTGTCAACAATATCTTCACATCTCGACCCTTCATCTGTCCGATCAGATGGGTAGAGTCATGCTGCTTGCCCGCATCGACGTCTCCGAAATACCCCTTAAAGGCTTTCTCACCCCATGGACACGCCGTAGGATTGAGGATAGCTGAGAAGCCCGATGCCGATTTGTATGCACCCCATTCGCGCAGATACGCAGTCACAGCACCGTGGCCACCCATGGAATGACCACTGATGGACGCGTTGGTCGTGTCTATAGGCAGACCAATTTCTTTTAACTTGACCGGCAATTCCTTGGTTATGTACGTGTACATGTTGTAGTGCTCGCTGTAGCCCGCCGTCGTGGCGTCGACGTAGAAACCTGCACCGGTTCCAAAGTCGTAAGCATCGTTTTCGCCTGGTACACCTGCGCCGCGAGGACTGTGGAGGGCGGTGTGAGTGATGAGTGTAGGGAGTGACAGGAGTGCCTTGAGTGCCTTGAGTGTCTCCAAAAGCAAGACAAAAGACACAAGACACCAGACACCGACACCGGAAAACACGCACCTCGTATCGGGGAACACCAACGCTATACCCTGCTTAGAAGCCTCGTCGAAGAAACCACCTTTCTGGGCTCTGTTGCCTATTAGCGCCACCCTCTGCACCCACTCAAACTCACGCATTGTCCTCAGTGCACGTCAAACCGGAAAGGAAGTAAAGGACGGGTGCTTTGGCGTTAGCGTGGGTGTTGGGTGGCGTGTAGACGTTGATTTGCGTCTCTAAACCACCCAGGCTGTGGCTCTGGTAGTGCGTCAGCTGCTGCCGGCCCCACTCCATCCACTGCCACCCACCTTGAACTTGTACTTGTCGATAAACCCGCCTGATACTTTGTTGGTCGATAATTTCTCAAATCCGCTCATGGTCGTTTGGGTGTAAAACTCACTATCCTTTATGACGTCCGATTATCGGGTGAATAATCGACGTTATCGGCGCTATAGTGGGATTATAGAATGTGCATTTGAGCATGTGAATATGATGTAATATTCACACACAACCCACACGCTTCAAATTAGATTCGTAAAGGCATTAGCATTCAAAGAGTTACATGATTTATAAGTTTCGACCGCAGCTATCCCAGCCAAAGCCTGCAGTAATTGCATCTAGAAGAGAGTTGATGGGTCAACCCAGCTGTCGACGTGCCATGACCAAATATCGTAGATCTCGCCCTTGTATAATTGATCAAAGTCTTGGAAGAGCGCAAGAGACATGTCGTAGTGGTTCCAAGCGCATGATGGGCACTTATCAACTACTTTTCCGTAACTGGTAACTCCGTTGACGTTGAAACCCTAAACGATGTCAGATGCTATAGCGCAACATACTTCCCACTTACCACCCATTGCCCGCATGGGATTGGATTATCGTAAGATACTGCTACGAATCTATCGTTGTTGGAGAGCCAGTCTCCACAGGCACCTCTGTTGCCTGTCTCAGCGTTGTACCAGGTGGCAATGTTGTTATAAGTATCGTCAGATCTCTTTGAGACTGGTGCAGTTTCATTGACTGGTTGTTCGTTGGTTGGTGCAGCGGCGACCAAGGCAGCGAGAGAGGCGAGAGCAATTGCTTTGAAGTTCATTTTGCGATCCTGCGCGTTTTTATAGGAGTTGAAAAGGTTGTAGAGAAGGCAGAATTCAGCTTCATGCAAGTCTTATATAAGGAAAGATCGAGGTCTAAGGCACACAGTTACAATGAATTTTGCGGACGGCTTGTGAATTGGTGCCTAGTAAATATTTGTCCAGGTTGTTCGATTTCCTGAAGTGACATAACATTTAATTAAACAGTACATACAAGCTGCACGTATCGTTCGAGTTATATTAGCTACATAAATTGCATTGCAAGCTTTGACTTCTTAAGCCATGGAAAAAGTGAGACCGCAAACTAAAACATTCTGACTTGCGATGCTTATTCTCAACGATCATTTACAAATCAATACAATGGGATAAAATTTTATCTGGAATTGCCATCGAACAAACTCCAATCATCTCCACCGGTTCCTTGCCATTAGTAAGAGATCGCGAACAGGCTGGAAGGGGGGGGGGATAAACTGAGTAAAAAATTAATTTATGCGCGCTATCATTCTGTTCAACTGCTTACTGCACACCCCAAATTACTGCTTTTCAGTCTAACCTCTAATAATTGTGAAGTAAGTCGCAATCGGCAGATGTGATTGATGTCATTAAATCAAGGATACTCTCAATTAGAAGAGCTTGTAGCATCGTACGTCTACAGATCCATCCGCATTTCACTCATAGATCGCTAGATTTTACATGCGGTCGGGAGCTATTCCATTTCTTCAAGACTTCTCGTGAGGAGTGGCGGAGATTGGGAAGTGAAATGGTGCAGCAAATGCTGATTAGGCTAGAGATCGCATCTATCCCTCTTGCTCGGATGCTCGGATGCTCGGTTATAATCACCGCATGGCACACTTAAAGATGTCAATCACAGCACGCGAAACTGTGAAGAATGGGCAGATATTCCATTAATATTTAATACAAATTATATTCAATTATGCACATGCAATGATAAGGGGCCGGCAGGGACTTTTATTAAGCCAAGCTAGCTGCACGAGGAAGCAGTGTGAAAAGGGCAGAGATTTAGCCAAGTGTTGAATTGAAAGTGGTGTATAACTCGATTAAGATTCATTGTATGACACTATATCGATTAATGAGATTTCTGAGAAATTCCAAACGCCTGAGCAAGCGACCCTTTTAGGCGTTCAAGGTGTATGTATCATCTGTGAAATAGAGTACAAGTTGACGTGAATGCTGTACAGCTCCGATATCGATTTTTTATTAGCGTAAAGGTACTATTTCTACCGTCAGTCGGTTTTTTCGTTAGTGATTAACATGTAAAAGCTAATAATGTATAGCAAACAACTGACTTTAACGTCTCACATAACAACTTATGGTACTCAATTCATATAAACAAATGTTGAATCGGTAGAAGCGCGAGACCCCCTTCGGACATTGGTGAATCTCAGCCAATCTAATTACATCAATGTTGTCTAGGGTTTCCCTTGCGTGCCTGTAAATCCATTTCGGCATTTCAATTTTTGAGACAGACTTCCTCAGTCATCTAAAAGACGTATTCAAAGATTCTGATCATGGACGCGCTCCCTTTTACTTACTCATCAGCAGAATGGGTCTCAACTGGAATTGTCGCATTTTCTATCGGATATTCCATGTCAATTATAACTTGCACTTTGTTGTCATGTGTTATTGCTTTCATGCACCGTTGAAGCGTGTTTGAGGTTTGAATAGAGTGGCTGGCAGGCGCTTATCGAGATTTGCCACAATTCGCCACAAGACAGTCATGTTGTGGGCCATATTGACTTGAAACTTGTATCTTGTAAACGAGTAATAGCTTTTCCGAAACTGTGTTTCAATTCGGGAATGTGGCCTAGTTCTAACAAAGCCGCGATTTCGACAGTAATGGGGATCGACCCTTCTCGGAAATCGGGTGTTTGGATTGACCAAGTGTATTTCAAAGTTTCGAACAAGGGGTGTGAAAGCGGGTAAGACTGCGCTGGAACACTAGAGGTCCGTATAGTAGGAATTAAGGTTTTTAGATAGCATATTGCAATCCCTGTAATACGTCTAAAGTATTTGGTCGGTTTCAGGTCCATATTAAAGGCTAGTAATTGTAATAGCATCGTCAAACACCTCACGTATCCTTTGCTGCAAATTTATACTAAGATTGCTCAAGGTTCCTCTCATTTCGATGTTATGACACAGCGTCCCCTTAACATTGCCTTCCTCGGCCTAGAGATGATGACGTTTAATGATTGATTTTGGGTGAATTCGGAATATTCTGACTCAAATTCGGTGTTGTATGCATTTATATAACATTCATGTGGCAGTAGTCCTCGACTTAGCCAGCGCTTCCACCTTTCTGAGCTGTTGCTACTCTTTTAACTGTGAAAACGGAAAGCGAAAATGAGCTGAAGGTACAATAGCATTAGTTTGGAACATATTCATGAGGACAAAATCAATCAATATGACTATTAGAAGCCGTCTGAATCCCGCTATGGTATCAACCTGCTCGATAAAAAGGCGGGTAGCTACTCGGAGCAAGCACGCGTTCCATACTTTTTGTCTATTGAAGCATTTCGGTAGCTTTTCGTACTCTTCACGGATTAAACATGTCCTTAACATGTCTTCTTTGTCACCTCTGTTTAGTTACAAAACTACCAGCAGATGGAAAGCTTATTTGGAGATGATGTAGAACATTATTACGCCATTGAATATTTTTAAAGAATTGGATAGACACTTACTCGTTCCGACCCACAATTTTTAATCAGCGACTTGACCGTACATCATAGCAACGTCTGGAGAAGTTTATGTGACAGATCAGGACTTTGAAGGTATAATATCGAAGAGTTGAAACCTGTGAATAATAATGTAACTATCGCAAATTAAATCTGCTTAGGACACCTTGCAAACGACCAAGCAAGTGAAAAGATAAACATAGAGATATCATATTCATACAGTCTGAATAATTTAGCAAGAATGTCAATTTTTTAGTAGCTCTAGGATTTCAAATGCAATCTCGTCTCAAACCTCCGCTAAATATCCAGAGTTGAATATCTCGACTATCAATCACATCACATCTCAGATGGCTGATTTACGAGTTTTGATGATTTCCAAATAAAAAAGCATCATAAATAACCCTAAATAAGCTGTTCAATGCTTAATCAAAATTGTATCCCTGAGCCTCCAATTGCCTCCCTTAGGCTGTTCGGCCGTTGGAATCAAACATCGGTTTGAAGCACACTACAGGATAGATATGGAGAATTTCTCGCAATTCATGGATGGAAACAATGTTTCAGCTGATGAATACCACAATTACTCATACTCTCAGCATTACCGCTATATAAGCGCGATTTACGTTTTCCGACACGTAGCGTCCACGTGACTCAATACTAGCACCAGGGAGAAATTATTCTCACTCCAGATGATCACAAGCCTTTTATCACGACCTTTACAAAGAAAAATGAAATTTAACCCAACTCTGAAATTGGGGGTTTGGATCGACCGAGTGCATTTCGAGATTTCGTATTCAATCAAGGGGGTATGAAGGCAGTTGAGACTGCGTTGAAATCTTATAAAACATTTAGTAGAAATGCAAACTTTTAAATGCCAAGTTAAAGTCCCTGAAATACGTCACATCTAGCTGGACTAGTGCAGAGCACATAACTACGCTATTCATGATAAAGCTGCTCTCGAATTTGTCAAAAAGTAAATAACTACAGAAAGGTATCAATATTACGTGACTTTGAAGGTATCAAGCTTCTATGACACAACCGCCAGTAAACATGCCATTCTCGATCTGGAGATGACGAGCTTTACTTTTGTGATATGGCGAGAGGATGGGGATAATTCGGCTATAAAAGATTAATGTAGTTTTAATGACTGCTGGATTTTATCAGTGAATGACCGTCTCTGACTTGTCACTGCTCTGCGACAATCAACTGTAATGTTGTAAAGGGAGATAAGAAAGGATTTTGATAATGAGCACTGACCTTCAATATATCAAGAAGCATCAATACTGGGTTTTGCGCTTTTCTCCTCCTTATCGTTCCGTACCCCCACTTCTCTTTAATAGATATTCATCATCTCAAGATGGTTTAATCAAACGAAAGAGAGTCAGGGCTCATGGGCTTTCGTCGTCAACCAAAGCGATCTCATTTCAGCAGCAAAGGTCAAGTACATAAATGCAGCTTAAGGAAATGGGAACAAAGTGGATGATACTAACCACGTACTCGATATCCCAGAGAACTGCAAGTAATATAAAAGTTCCAGGACACGATTTTGTCGTTGCGAAGCTCGATATATGCCTGTCTGGAAGGCAAATCGATTACATCACGCAAAATATTCGCACAGATGTTTCACATACTAGAAGAGGTTAAAAAATACATGGCAACTAAGTGCAAAGTATGAGCGCGTTAAAAATCTACACTTGAATAAGATTCGTAAAGGCATTAGCATTCAAAGAGTTACATGATTTATAAGTTTCGACCGCAGCTATCCCAGCCAAAGCCTGCAGTAATTGCATCTAGAAGAGAGTTGATGGGTCAACCCAGCTGTCGACGTGCCATGACCAAATATCGTAGATCTCGCCCTTGTATAATTGATCAAAGTCTTGGAAGAGCGCAAGAGACATGTCGTAGTGGTTCCAAGCGCATGATGGGCACTTATCAACTACTTTTCCGTAACTGGTAACTCCGTTGACGTTGAAACCCTAAACGATGTCAGATGCTATAGCGCAACATACTTCCCACTTACCACCCATTGCCCGCATGGGATTGGATTATCGTAAGATACTGCTACGAATCTATCGTTGTTGGAGAGCCAGTCTCCACAGGCACCTCTGTTGCCTGTCTCAGCGTTGTACCAGGTGGCAATGTTGTTATAAGTATCGTCAGATCTCTTTGAGACTGGTGCAGTTTCATTGACTGGTTGTTCGTTGGTTGGTGCAGCGGCGACCAAGGCAGCGAGAGAGGCGAGAGCAATTGCTTTGAAGTTCATTTTGCGATCCTGCGCGTTTTTATAGGAGTTGAAAAGGTTGTAGAGAAGGCAGAATTCAGCTTCATGCAAGTCTTATATAAGGAAAGATCGAGGTCTAAGGCACACAGTTACAATGAATTTTGCGGACGGCTTGTGAATTGGTGCCTAGTAAATATTTGTCCAGGTTGTTCGATTTCCTGAAGTGACATAACATTTAATTAAACAGTACATACAAGCTGCACGTATCGTTCGAGTTATATTAGCTACATAAATTGCATTGCAAGCTTTGACTTCTTAAGCCATGGAAAAAGTGAGACCGCAAACTAAAACATTCTGACTTGCGATGCTTATTCTCAACGATCATTTACAAATCAATACAATGGGATAAAATTTTATCTGGAATTGCCATCGAACAAACTCCAATCATCTCCACCGGTTCCTTGCCATTAGTAAGAGATCGCGAACAGGCTGGAAGGGGGGGGGGATAAACTGAGTAAAAAATTAATTTATGCGCGCTATCATTCTGTTCAACTGCTTACTGCACACCCCAAATTACTGCTTTTCAGTCTAACCTCTAATAATTGTGAAGTAAGTCGCAATCGGCAGATGTGATTGATGTCATTAAATCAAGGATACTCTCAATTAGAAGAGCTTGTAGCATCGTACGTCTACAGATCCATCCGCATTTCACTCATAGATCGCTAGATTTTACATGCGGTCGGGAGCTATTCCATTTCTTCAAGACTTCTCGTGAGGAGTGGCGGAGATTGGGAAGTGAAATGGTGCAGCAAATGCTGATTAGGCTAGAGATCGCATCTATCCCTCTTGCTCGGATGCTCGGATGCTCGGTTATAATCACCGCATGGCACACTTAAAGATGTCAATCACAGCACGCGAAACTGTGAAGAATGGGCAGATATTCCATTAATATTTAATACAAATTATATTCAATTATGCACATGCAATGATAAGGGGCCGGCAGGGACTTTTATTAAGCCAAGCTAGCTGCACGAGGAAGCAGTGTGAAAAGGGCAGAGATTTAGCCAAGTGTTGAATTGAAAGTGGTGTATAACTCGATTAAGATTCATTGTATGACACTATATCGATTAATGAGATTTCTGAGAAATTCCAAACGCCTGAGCAAGCGACCCTTTTAGGCGTTCAAGGTGTATGTATCATCTGTGAAATAGAGTACAAGTTGACGTGAATGCTGTACAGCTCCGATATCGATTTTTTATTAGCGTAAAGGTACTATTTCTACCGTCAGTCGGTTTTTTCGTTAGTGATTAACATGTAAAAGCTAATAATGTATAGCAAACAACTGACTTTAACGTCTCACATAACAACTTATGGTACTCAATTCATATAAACAAATGTTGAATCGGTAGAAGCGCGAGACCCCCTTCGGACATTGGTGAATCTCAGCCAATCTAATTACATCAATGTTGTCTAGGGTTTCCCTTGCGTGCCTGTAAATCCATTTCGGCATTTCAATTTTTGAGACAGACTTCCTCAGTCATCTAAAAGACGTATTCAAAGATTCTGATCATGGACGCGCTCCCTTTTACTTACTCATCAGCAGAATGGGTCTCAACTGGAATTGTCGCATTTTCTATCGGATATTCCATGTCAATTATAACTTGCACTTTGTTGTCATGTGTTATTGCTTTCATGCACCGTTGAAGCGTGTTTGAGGTTTGAATAGAGTGGCTTGCAGGCGCTTATCGAGATTCGCCACAATTCGCCACAAGACAGTCATGCTATGGGCCATATTGACTTGAAACTTGTATCTTGTAAACGAGTAATAGCTTTTCCGAAACTGTGTTTCAATTCGGGAATGTGGCTAAAATTTAAAAAAAGCCGCGATTTCACAGTACAAAGGACAATGATCCCTGACAAAGAAGTGCAACGTGTAGGTAACAAGGAGCATTCGGCTGAGGATGTAGCTATTACAGGTAATTTGTTCAAGATAAGATTAAGTAGAGGAAATGTTTGGGAATGTTTCCATTTAAGGTTCTTTTAGGCAGCTTAGGAAGACTGTCTCAGATGACTCAAGTGTCAAACTGGACTTAGAAGCGCGCATAGCAACTCTAGACAAGAACGACTTATTTTAGCTGTTCAAGGAATGCAGACTGTCTGACGTGATCCTTCTGCGCCTGCTACTTCATCGTATGGATCTTTTCTTTGAATATCACAGGTCGATCTGGCGTTGCAGCCGAGTGGGTGCTAAACAAGGGTAAATCTTGAAATATGATTCCTACTATTAGACATTGCGGTTTTGCAGAAGAAATATTGCTAGATTTCCAAATGTGAGAGCAGCTTGTACTATGTTCACTTACGATACATCTGAACGCCTAAAGTAGTCCCCTGCTTTGTCCCTAGAGGATATATACCTGCCATAAAAGGGTTTGCAATATGCCAGGCTACAACAACAACTGTAAATGTCAACAAATTTGAAATCGCTTGCGCCCCTTGAACCGAAACCGCCAAATGACGTCTATGCGAGATAAAGCGTCAACAATATTTGCAGTGGTGATGGTACTCTTGCAGTGCCTAGCCAGTACCTCTGCGTGGCCTCGAAAATCACAGATATCTTCATCCACGTTCATCCCCGTGGATCCCACTTCGCCGGCAGAGATGACAGTCATAGACGCACTCAGCGCAGATCCTCAATTCACAGATCTCGTCAGGATTTTACAGCGACTCAAACTTGTTCCCGCTATTAACAAGCTCGAAGATCTCACCATCTACGCCCCCACAAACGACGCCATCAGGAGCTCGAAAGGCGCACACAGCCTCGCTGACAACCTCAACGAGAGAAGTCGCGAGATTATTTTCTATCACATTTTAAATTACACCGCCTCTCACGATAACAGTGATAGTCACTTCCCTCAATTACACCAAACCCTCTTGCACCCAGCCAACGTGCTTGGTGAGCCCACTTACAATCCTCCGCCGCACTCGCCCTGGCTGCCTGAGCCTGGCGATGGAAAGTCCCTTATGGGTGCTGGACAACACGTGCGCATCGGCAAGTCTAATGACTCTCAAGTCTGCTTTGGACTTAGGGATGTTGCTGTGGGAGGCAACTACACCGGCAACTGCAATGATAACGGTGCTGCAACTATTCTCTCAAGCAAACCGAAGCGTGTACGAAATGGCGTCATTTATCCAATCGATACGGTGATTATTCCGCCCGCAGATCTTGGTGGGTGGTACTTTTGACATTTCAAACGCAACAGCTCACCCATCACAGCCACACAAATTCGCTCCCATCCATCTCTGTCCATGCTGGCTGATTTGATGCCCTCACAGGCCATCTCAAACTTAGAACATGACAACGCAAAAGGTCTGACTCTCTTCCTCCCAACCAACGATGCCTTCAAAGCCCTGGACGATGCTGTCTATGGATACCTTCACAATCAACTGTACGCTAATCCAGATCTGTTGAGTTTGATGTCAGGCCATATTGGAAGAGGAGATGGTGTGGGCTGGAGTACAGCATGGGACTCTGATAAATACTTTAAAACAGACCTCAAAACAGAGCTGCAAGTTGACGATTTCGAAGTTAAGCTGGATGACGATACGACTTCCAAGATCAATACAATTGACATTTTGGCGTCAAATGGAGTCATACATCTGATAGACTCCTTCGTAACTCCCCCTCGACTTCTCTTGCTGGATTCCGAGAAGGCGTTGGTCGGATTAAACGCCACCCGTTTCGTCGATTTATTCAGATCAGCACATCTCTCTGATAAGTATCTGAAGGATGACCAAGACAATGCAACGCTTCTAGTCTTTCGAAACGATGTCTTTGATGGTATGAGGGAAGGCAGCGTGGACGCTCTCTCACAGCACAGCGATATGGCAAACACTCTTCAGTACCACATCATTCCTGGTAACATCCGAAAGGACGACGTTGAGTCTGGTGAATTGATTGCTACAGAGCTTAAGACACATATGCTTGATGGACACGGACAGCGAGTCGTCGTAACCAAGTCTGAACGCAAAGACAAACCTGAATCGACCAACAAAGCCGGTAGAGGCGGCGGATGGAGCTTCAACCACGCGAGCGTTCTCGCTAATGAATGTATGTTTCGCTTCGAGCCTAAGCTCTAGCCTAATCCCTAGCCTTAACGTCATTCTAACAAATCACAGTTAATGTGGGAAACAAGTCAATCTACTTCATCTCTTCAGTGCTAGAGCCACCAAAAGACATAATGAGTGTTGCTGTATCGGACCTTCGCCTGTCGACATTTGTAGCCTCAGTATATGCTGCTGAGATGGGCGAGTACCTTAAGCATGTACCGGCAACAACGCTCCTGATTCCAACCAATAATGCATTTGAGGAGCTGGGCTATGCGATGAAGTACTTGCTCAAGGGTCGCGCAAAGTCTGAATTGACCAAGTTGATAAATTACCACGTAATCAACGATATCGTATACTTATCTGATATGACTAACGGTACATACAAGACGCTCTTAGACACAGATATTGATTTACACATTCGAGACAAAGGCAATGCAACAGAGAAAACAGTTGGCTCACTCCGCAACGAGGTTGGTTATTCTCTTAATGGGGAGGAAAGAAAGGCTGTGATAAAAGAAGGCGACATTCTCACTTCTAGCGGCGTCATACACATTATTGATCAGGTTGAACGACCTGCAGAGGTTGACATCACCCTGAGAAAGTTGCTGAAGGGCAGCAACGCCAACACCATGCTTGATCTGTTCCAGAAGTCCGGGCTACACTGGCTCCTCGATGGAGACATACCACCTCCAGAAGACTACAACAATCCATACGAGAAGCGCAACACAAGTATTGGGCATCCTGTCAAACCATATACAGTGTTAACGCCAAATGACGACGCATTCACTCACATTAATCTCACGCACTACTATGATGACAGAGCAGCACTAGAAGCTCTAGTCAGAATGCACATCCTACCAGCACCCCCAGATTACCTCGAAGACAGAGATCCATACAGTTTGGTAGAGCAGGATAATGTACCGCCTACGAATGGCGGACATCCTCTTTTTATTTACGACGACATGGCTTATCCATCTTTGCTCTCTTATACTGAGGGTGGGCCATCCAAATACGGCGATGTGGCGTTCAAGAAAACGGAAAATGACTGGACCGTCGGTATCAAAGGAGCCAGAGATGTCAACGGGCCTGAAGACTTTGCTATTGTCTTGGGATTTGGAAGGGCGTCACCTCACTTTTACAATTCCAGTATGTCTGCTTTAGACAGCAACAGCAACAACAAGGACTCAGACCAAGACGATCCACACTCTATGTCGATCGGCGGCGGAATTGTCGTGCTAGATAGAGTTCTGATACCCTACGAGCCTTCGTGGATCTACAGATGGGGATGGATTGTTTTTACTGCTTTGGCAGGCACAGGTTTGCTTGGTGGTGGTGGATACGCTTCGTTTATAGCATACCAACGCAGAAAGGCATATAGAGCTGGCTACGAATCACTAGAAGGCGAAGAGGATTAATGTGAATTGAAAATATAATTATAATAATGAATCAAAGGACAACCAAATTTTGTACTATTGAACGAGTTGTATAAATAGAAATAATTTAAGTACATTTACGCCTGACCGATGGTTGCAAGCGCTTGACCCTTGAATTTTTCAAACAAATCCTTAGCTTCCGTCCACACGCGTGCGGTGTTGCGGTTGGTTAACTCGAAGAGAGATGGGAGGAGGTCATGTGAGAATGCATCCGAAGACTCTCTTGGGAGGAGAGTAGGGAGGTGGTCGATTGAGACAACCTGCATTGGAGGAACGTCTGCATTTAACTCGACTGGTACTGTTGGCTTATCGAAGGTAGTATTAACGTTGTAGATTGGAATTGGGTTGTTTGGATTAGTAGTGTCACAGCTGACGTCTACAACTACCGACAATCTACGGTCCTTGCCTGCACTCTCGATGAATTGGCGATCGATAAAGTTTGGTATTTTAGAGCTGAGGTAGATGCAGTTGACGAAGATATCAACATCGAGGATCTCCTGGAATGGGCCACCTTTTGCGGTCTCATTGATATCCCACTTGATAATGTTCTCATCTGCGAGACCGGCTTTTTGGAAGAGTGACACAGCACCTCTACCGCATCTGCCGAGTGCACCGATGACAAGAGCCTTGATAGGCTTGTTGGAGCTGCTTGCGGCGATCTTTTTCTTGAGATCGTCGATAAGCTCATCCTCATTAGGGTATGGCTCTAAATGACCAAGTTCTTTGTCTTCTTGCTGGGCAATATGTGAGAGCAAACCGACAGCTGCACCTGCAAAACCTGCGTGGAAGCCAAATGCAGCGACCCTGCGACCGCTGTTATCAGTGAGGAACTCCAAATCATACAGACTTCCGCCTCCGTCTGCGAATCTCTTCAATACATCAGCCCAGCCAGCTTGTTGCTTGTAGCAGTGTGCGAATTGGATGTGGGTGTGCTCGAGCGGCTTGTCCTCGACTGGGAGCTCTTTCAATCCAATGATTAACGTATCTTTTGGCGCTGTTGGCCATGAGTTGTGTGGTGCGAGCTTTGCACCGACTCTGTAGCGTGTGAGTTACTTGTGCGTAAATTATCTTAAAAATAAACTCACTTCTCATACTCCTCGTCGTCGAAAATGCGCTGTGGGTCTCTCTCAATTGTCACATCGAATCCTTTATCGAGAAGCTGCTTCGTCGTTGCTGGCGTGAGCGCTGCTCTTTTTTCGAATTCCTTGGTCTCGCATCTGAGCCAGAGCTTTGGTGGTGTACTCATTTTGATTTGCTTAGTGGTTTGAAAAGAAGAAGTCGGCTAGGTCGCTATCGGCGGTGTGAGTCATTGTGGTATGAGCTTGCGTGGCTGTGATATAGCTATAAATTCCTGTGAATATATTAAAACTAACACTGCTGAGGTGCATTTCTGTTGCAATTATATAAAATCCCCCTGATTGAACAAGCTGTGTGTAAAATATAGCTTATAATAATTCCATGATAGCCTTAGACAGATTAATTTTTAAGCGGACTTTTAAGAGCCGTTTTGGAACCCTCTGTCCGTTTTGAGATAGTATCACTGGTTGACAAGGATAAGCTGGCACCCTAATAGGCTGATATAGATTTTAGGCGTAACTTAAACGTTGTGGTATATCCTGAAGTTCTTTAAAATCAAAAAGAGTCGCGTTTAAGGCCTCTTGAGGGTTTGATATATATTGATGTAAAAATGAATGTTTATAAGCATTAATGGGGTAGTGGTAACCTCGATCGTTGCCATCGATCGGCCCCCGGTTCAATTCCGGGTTAATGCATTTACTTTTGCATCTCAAACCTTCTATCTGCAATTCGATACCTTTTTCTTTTGTCTTCCATATTTTATTTGCGAATTTTTTATACAAATTGACAATTACCTTTTAAGCATCAGAAACCGAATGGAACTTTCAGAGCGATTTTCAATCCACAATTGACAACTGCCAGACGAAACGTAGAGGTCGGAGGAAGCCAGATTTTGCTAGGCAACTGTAAGTAGATTACTCTGTCATTCTCAACCACCCCTGTTATTCCCGAAGCGAGCCAAAAATTTAGTTAAGTTGACTCAGATGATGATTCAGATATGACGTGATGTCATCCGACACATTCATTCAAGTACCTAGTGATGAAAAGGTTCCTAAGATCCAGACCTTTTGTTCACTAGATAAAAGCCGCTCGATTTCTTCATGTCTTTGTCCGCATACACTGAACAGGTTTCTCACTCTCTTTAAAATGTTTTACAAGTCAATCGTCGTCGCCGCTATCGCCTCAATGGTCGCTGCCGCACCTACCCAAACTGGTGCCCCTGCAGCTAAGCGCTCAGCAGACTCCTACGGTAACCAAGCCACTTGGTACAATGCTGAGACCGGAAACCGTGGTGCTTGCGGCCAGTACTTATCAAACGACGATCGTTTTGTCGCTGTCGGATTTGGCTCACCAATCCCATGTGGACAGTGGATGGTGGGTGAAAAGACTAACTATTCGACCCCACTAACAACAAATGCAGGGCTTCAACGTCAACGGCGTCACTAGCTACGGTTACGTTGCCGACAAGTGTGCTTCATGCGCCAACAACCACTACGACATGTCCGAAGCCCTCTTCAACGACTTTGGTGCATTCGGCCAAGGTGTCATCAACGACATCTGGGCATGGCAAGTCGATAGCTGGGTTGAGCCAAGCACCCTCTAGATTGCACTTGGCACATTGTGCTTTGTGCACTTTGATTTCTCTGGTTAGATCGAAGTTATAGACATAGACAAAACTGCAAAACTGTAAAAATTCTACTGTGCTTCTCTATGCACTACTGTACACTCTTTGTTAATACACTCATTGCAAATTTTTTTTTGTTTCAGTCTATACCAACGTATAAATGCTCAATATCTGCCTGTCAACACATAAATGCTTAACATCCGCAGCCGTGTTTGACAATGCTCAGTCGTGTGTTTAGTATTATGTATGATATTCACGCAACTAGATAGGGTCTCATACGCGCCAAATCTCGGTTTAGGTCGTGTTATACCTTCCAGAGTGTCCGATAGTGCAGAGCCACGAGTAAGCTGTAGATCCAGTACAATCAAAATCTGCACCTCTATTGATCCATTCACATAAAATAATATATAGTATTCCATCAAATCATGCACTAATTCTCAAATCAATTCAAATATGTTATCGTTGTGGTATATAGAAAAGTATCTGACAACATGCCAACGGCCCATTTCCCATCTACCAATTGTCCAGCTGCTTAGAACGAGAGCTTTAAGCACTGATGAGAGAGTCTTCTTGCGTGGAAAACCCGACAAGCTAGCGTGAGACATAACCTCTAGCGTGGGGCATAAAATTTAAGGTTTCAACATGTAAACCATAGTCGGGATCGTAAAAGCTGTGCTGTTAACGCTATAGAATGATATCTTCATACCTATCTTATCTGAATTTGTTCACCTTGGAGTTCCCGACGCTAAAAGTTCGAAACCAAAGTTCCGACACCAAGCTGACACTTAGGAACAAACGATATCACAGGTTAATAGAGTAATTAAACACAGCTTTCTCGAATTTTACCACAGACTGCATCTTAAACATTCGCAAATTTGTTTTCAAGTTGGAGTGTCTCACCATAAAATCTTGTAGAGGTCAAATACCGCATAATCAGCTTCAAAATCAGCTTTAGAGAATGTCTCCCGTTTCCCTGAAGCTAGGCGCCAAGCTTTTGGTGTTAGCGACGATTCGAAATTTGGCAAAAACTGGACTCACACTATCTGCTTCCAGAGAATGCCAAACTGTTACACATGTGGGATAAACTGAAATTAATTCACACGATTAGTTCCGAAAAGCTGTACAATTCGCTAGAAATCGTCATCTAACACACGATTAAGTTACAAGTCTCACCTCAAGAGTTCCTGGAGGACGAAAATCTCGAACGTCTTGTGGGATATAAAAGTTGAGAATCATTTGTAGCTCTTCTTTATCTACAACACGCACACTCTCTTTACAATGTTCTACAAGTCAATCGTCGTCGCCGCTATCGCCTCAATGGTCGCTGCCGCACCTACCCAAACTGGTGCCCCTGCAGCTAAGCGCTCAGCAGACTCCTACGGTAACCAAGCCACTTGGTACAATGCTGAGACCGGAAACCGTGGTGCTTGCGGCCAGTACTTATCAAACGACGATCGTTTTGTCGCTGTCGGATTTGGCTCACCAATCCCATGTGGACAGTGGATGGTGGGTGAAAAGACTAACTATTCGACCCCACTAACAACAAATGCAGGGCTTCAACGTCAATGGCGTCACTAGCTACGGTTACGTTGCCGACAAATGTGAGTTGCAGAATGCTTGTGCCAAAATTTTCTAACAAGATAAAGGCGCTGCATGTGCAAACAACCACTACGACATGTCCGAAGCACTCTTCACAGATCTTGGTTCAATGCCTCAAGGTGTATTGAACGACGTTTGGGCCTGGCAATTGGACTAAGCGAGACGCAAACGGATTGGCTCTCTGGAAGGACCAATGAAATAGAGCAATACTAAGTTCATATTATAATGTGCAGCGCACATCCACACTCATTGTAACAATAACACTCATTCATGTATTTGCATCTCTTATCAATTTCCGTGACTGGAGTAGATAATCCGTGTAGTGTACACGATATCCTGCCTCCTCAATAGCTGCCGTTGCCGCTGCCGCCTCTCTAACTTAAACCACCAAGAACTGGCACTGCGCAGATGAGGGTAGGCACAGAGCTAATATCTCGAATATGGACTCAGAAATTATCAGGAAAGCAATATAATAGTTATAGAAACAGGCAGGACGATGCTCGCAGGCAAGCCGCTCGGAGAAATATTCCACAAGCCTCAGCTGCAATTCGAAGCAAAAGTCGGCGTCAAGAAGACGACGCTGGATGGAATAGCCAAGGGCGATTTAGATGACAGCATGGACACGGATGAGAAGCAGCCGATGCGTCTCAGGCCATCGAGTTATCTCGTAGGACAGCAACTTGAAGATACCTTACTGGCGGGAGAGCCTATTGAGATAAGTTATCCGTGGCGTGATGGTCGTATACACGACTGGATTGGTGCAGAGGCCCTTTGGAAACACGCCCTTAAGCAGCTTCTTGGGAACCCACGTGCTGCAACTGCTTTGGTGTTGGTCACTGTCCCACACGGACTGTCAAAGGATGAAAGCGAGAAGATTACTCAAATCTTCTTTGAAAGATTTAACGTTCCTGTGTTTGCACTGTTAGAACGCCCCGTCCTTGGTCTCTATGCTTCAGGCAGTGTCAATGGTCTTTTCATCGATATAGGCTACGACTCTACTGATGTTGTACCAGTACTGGAAACTATGCCTCAGTATACGGCTGCTACGCACTGGAGGTTTGGCACACGGGAGCTGTCAGTCTATCTCGCAAGTCTGCTGAAGAGCGACAGCCATCTGCTCGCACATGAAAAGCTTAGCGCGTTGGGGGAGCAAGAGAAATTTAACGCTTTGGTCGAGATTGCTCAAGAGCTGTTCAACCATCCTCACTCGCTCTCGCTTCTACCCGAGGAAGACGAGAAAGAGAAGAAGAAAGGAGAGGAGTTGGATATCGCAGCCGCACTCGTTAGTGGTCAAGAGCAGAATTTAATTGATGAAAAGGACGCAAAGGAAAATAACCCAGCAGCCTCTCAAGGGAGATTTGAGGTGCAGTGGCGCGGAAGCACTGTATCTGTTGGGAAGATAAGACAAAGATTTTGGGAGCCATTGTTTAACATGAACCTCCTGAAAGGCTTGAAAGGAGTTGATGAGGAGCAGACACGAGTTAGTCTACCTGAGGCTATCGTGTATACATTAGATCAGTGCGAGATTGAAACGAGGCAGCAAATCTTGAATGGACTGGTGTTGGCAGGACCTCTGGCTGGCTCCAAGGGCTTCTCGCAATTGCTAGCACCACATATCGAACCATACCTCAGCAAAGGTGACAATAACGAGTTGCAGGCATCAGCATCAGCTATCAAGGTGCTCAAAGTACCAGATTACTTTGCAGACTTCAAAAAAAGAGATGATTTAAACACTTTCCTGGGCGCTAGTATTGTAGCAAAAGTAAGAGTCGCCAGAGTATAGCAATAGCGCTAACGATTTCCAGATAACATCAGCAGATCACTCGAGCTTCGCCATCACCAAAGCAGACTACAATTTGAGAGGACCAGCGGTGATCACGGTGACCCCATACCTTGTGTAATTAACTAATTTATGTGTTTTAATAGTACAATCTACAATTCCTCATGTGTTACTTTTCCAGGACCCGTCGCACCGTCAAGAAGCTCAATATCGAAAACAAGAGTAGAACCAGCAGGGATAGGACCAATAGATCTGTTCCCGTATCCCTGTGCAGGCGGTATTGTTACTTTGCGTCTCTCGCCTTGACACATGCCTAGAACGCCCTTTGAGAGCGTTAGGAGGGGAAAAAAAAGGGAGAAAAGAAGGGTAACAAGAAACGCACCTGCTCCCAGCCAGAAATGACCTGATTCGCACCCAATTTGAAGGTAAAAGGATGCCTACCAGGCTTTCTACTCGAATCAAAAACGGTACCTTGTTCGAATAACGATCCAACGTAATGCATTTTCAGGTTATCACCATTTTGCGCTGTATGTAAACAAGGATCAGCTTTTTCTTTGATTCCAATTTGAAGTGTTGTAGGTGGTTGTTTGGATGTAGCAGCAGCAGCGCCAGCAGCACCTAAAAGGAGACCAATAAATGATATAAAGTTAACCATAATATTTAATAGGATTTTAATTTTAATTTTATATTACGTCGATGATGGTTGTTATCAACGTTCATCACAAATGAAGACATCGCCTCAAACGATAAACGATGTGCCGCACAAGCCTGTGACTGATTACACCCGATGGAGGTTGATAGTTACTGACGTCGGCAGGCACCAGTGGAAGTATCTCTCCCCTGAGCAATCGGCTGCTTCTCCGCAGAGTATTGAAGATAAATACTGGTTGGGATTGGATATTGTGGGTTTTATATCCCAGTATCACAATTACACTCACCTAATCATCCTTAGAATCTACCTCAACTCCCTGAGCCACGAAACCCCCTCGACGCTGCTCGTAATGGTCTGTTGAAGCCTTTGCTCTTCCGTTTCGCTCATTCACTCCACCAGGCTTCAAATTCTACAAGCAAATTCAATCCGTAGATGGCCACTGGGCTGGTGAATATGGAGGTCCCATGTTCTTGCTTCCTGGTCTCGTTATTTCAAATTACATATCAGGTGTGAAACTCGCCGAGGAACAGAGAGTGGAAATTATTCGCTATCTCTTTAACAGAGCTCATGAAGTTGATGGCGGCTGGGGAATGTGAGCAGTCTACATTTCATCATGCCTGTCTAACGATGTCCAAGACATATTGAAAGTCCATCCACTGTATTCGGTACAGCGCTAAACTATACAGCGCTTAGGCTTCTTGGTGTTGAAGCAGATCACCCTGTCATGACTAAAGCTAGGGGGACTCTGCACAAGCTTGGTACGTAGAATGGCTTATAGAAAGACGAATACAGCTAATGCACACAGGCGGTGCAACTGGATCTCCAGCGTGGGGGAAGTTTTGGCTTGCTTGCTTAGGTGTATACGATTGGGATGGTGTCAATCCAGTACCACCTGAGCTCTGGTAGGTCTAATAATATTGTTTGGACTTTTTTCACTCTGTGTCTAGGTTGCTACCAGATTGGCTGCCAATACATCCTACCAAATGGTGGATACACTGCAGACAGGTGAGTTGGTAATATTCAAAGATTTTGCCTCCTAATTGAATACAGATTTACCTCCCAATGTCATACCTCTATGGGAAGAGATTCATAGGCCGATCGACTGAGCTTACAGAGCAGCTGAAACAAGAGCTGTATGTGGATCCGTACGCTAGTATTGATTGGTCTGCACAGCGGAACAACGTCAACAAAATCGATCTCTTCCAACCACATTCAGCTGTAATGGACGCCCTTAATGCTGCTCTCTACTACGGATATGAACCCTGCTCTATACCACCGCTTAGACAAGCAGCTCTAAGGAAAGCTTACACGCATATCGTTCACGAAGATGAGAACACATGTTATCAGGGATTAGCGCCTATCAATAAGGCTTTCAACCAGCTCTGCCGTCTGGATGCTGATGGGCCTGATTCTAACGCCGTCAAGAAGCATTTGGAAAAGACAAATGACTTTTTGTGGCTTGGTCCTGATGGCTTGCGTGAGACTGGTACAAACGGATCTCAGCTGGTAGGTGGGAGGGTGTAAGAGGTAGGTATTTTATTGCTCACCAACACATAAGTGGGATGCTGCATTCATTGCTCAAGCACTCGTTGAGACGGGACTTGGCGAAGAAGAAGAAAACAAGCAAGCCACTGAGAAGCTCCTTGAATGGATTGACAAATGCCAAATAAGACAAGATCCGCTCTATCCAGCTTACCGTCAACCAACTAAAGGTGCATGGCCATTTAGTACAGCTGAACAAGGATATACGGTCAGTGACTGCACAGCTGAAGGCATAAAGTCTGTCATATACCTTCAGGAGTATTTGAAGTGAGTATGAAGTGCGCGCAAAGCTATTTTTAAACTCCTACCAGGCACACAAAACACCACGTCTCGTATGAACGTTTACATGATTCAGTCGATCTGCTACTAGGGATGCAGAACGCAGATGGTGGTTTCGCATCGTATGAGCTGACGAGAGGCTCGAAACATCTCGAACTCCTCAACCCTGCTGAAGTTTTCGGTAAGATTATGGTCGAATACTCGTACCCAGAATGTACAACATCTGTCGTTACGGCACTGTCACTGTTCAAGAAGCACCAGCCAGATTATCGTAGAGAGGATATAGAAAGGACAACAAATGCAGCTATCAAGTATATTCATGCCGCACAAAGAGAAGATGGAAGTTGGTATGGGAGTTGGGCCATTTGTTTCACGTATGCGGCTATGTTTGCTTTAGAGTCGCTTTCTTCGGTAGGAGAGCACTACGAGAACAGTGAAAAAGTAAGAAAAGCATGCGAGTTTCTTCTCAGCAAACAGAAAGAAGATGGTGGATGGGGAGAATCTTATTTGAGTTGCGAGACAGAGGAATACACTCAGCACCAAGACAGTCAGGTAGTGCAGACTTCGTGGGTCGTTCTTGCGTTGTTGCATGCCAGATACCCACATAAAGAGCCAATCAAACGCGCTGTACGATTGATAATGAGTCGACAAAACAAAGACGGTAGTTGGACGCAGGAAGCGATTGAGGTGAGTGGTTTAATGATATTCAAACCGTCTAATGCAGATGCTACTAGGGTATATTCAACAAGAATTGCGCTATTTCATATCCAAATTACAAGTTCTCCTTCACAATCTGGGCATTGGGGAAGGCGTATCGAGAAGTGGGTGATATTGAATGGTAATGACGTGATACATTAAGATTTGCCTTCTCGCCTTGCTTTGAGCTGGGAGAGTGTGAGTGTGGTGGTGGGAGTGTTATCAATGTTTGCTTACCCAGAGTGCCTTACAATCTTGGGCTAATGTGAGCTGTGCGGGGCTATAAAAATGAGACTCACTCCTGTAATTCTCGAAAACCTCTTTGCAGTTCTCTTTCTGATAGTAGTTGTCTTCTAAACACTCGAAGCTCTTCTTTGCAGCGTCGGCGCAGGGGCTGTATTGAGATTAATTCGGCAGAATGATTGCAACTAACACCCTCACTCATTAAATTTTGTAACCTTATCTTTAGCCTCGGCGCCGCTCATTGTTCTTGTTGAAGAACCGTTATGGCGTCACAACCACCAATTCCTCCGCCAGCTCCCAAGCCGTTGCCACTTGGGTATGAGTCACCAAAAGACAAGGCATATCGCAAATTGGTTGAACAGCCATTGGTTCCTATTGGTGGGAATGTATCGAGTTGAGTGACAGACAAACGCTGACGTAGGCATAGGAATCGGTGCGACGATTATAGCGCTCACACGCGCAGCCATGGAGATTAGAAGGGGTAACAGCAGAGCAGCGAACAAGTTCTTCAGATACAGAGTCTATGCGCAGGGAGCCACCGTTGTCGCAGCCGTTGGCGGTATGTGGTACTATGGTACAGCGCAGGAGCAAAAGGGCGCTAGAATAGAGAGGGATCGATTGGCCCGAACGGCTGAATTTGAGAAGAGACTTGATGACCTCAATCAGGCTGGCGTAGGCGAACAAGCGATGACTAGCTTCCGGAAACACGCTTCTGAAGCTGATAAACGCAAGGTTAGCACTATTGCTGATCTTGATCTCACCGGCACTTCCTGGGACAAGTTGCCGGCTGAAACTGCCCCTGCGTCCGAGAAAACACCCGAGAAGACACAGCAAGTCAACACAAGCAACCCACCTATGCCAACATCAGGGAGATTCTCACAGAAAGATCCATTGGCTTCGAATAGAGGAGGTAAAAGCGAGTAAAATGGATTTATCTTGTAATCTACATAACAATCATGAGCTTATTTCCTTTCTCAGCGTTGCGGTGTGGCAGAGGAGGAGTTCTGGCTGTAGCATCCAACAATCAAATAGCTGTAATTGATGGGTTCGTGTGGCCTCGTTTACAATACTCCCACTCAGCCTTCTCAGCATCAAAGTCCTCAAGAGCACAGAAGGACACACGATGCCTATCAGAGTGCTCCTATTCAGCAGCGACGATAAGCAGCTGATAAGTACTGGCGACGATAAGCAGCTTAACGTTTGGAATATCGAGAAAGATGCACTCGTTCTCAAAGACACAGTGTGTGTGGGGCATCTGGCTTTATGACATCTGCTTACCACTCCTCAGCCTCATCAGCAAGCGTGCAAACTCACTCAATCTCCTCAACGAAGACACTGTCCTCGTTGGAGACAAATTCGGCGATATTTTCACCTACAAGCTCAATAGAACGGACCAAGACAAGGAGAATGACGCAAAAACTAAAAACAAGGACAAGGAACCACTGCTTGGACATGTCTCAATGGTTAATGATGTCGCCGTCACTCCCTCACACATCATTTCTGCAGACAGAGATGCTCACATACGCATATCAAGGAACCCACTGGGATATGTCATTGATATGTTCTGTCTCGGCCACGAAAAGTTTATCACTGCAGTCGGTGTACTCGATGAAAATCTTCTTTTGTCTGGTGGTGGTGACGATTATATTATTCTGTGGAATTACAAAGAGGGCAAGGAAATGAGGCGATTTGACGTGAGAGATGCTGTTCTTGCTCATGCTTCAGTGAGAGCAATCAAAATTCAAGATAAGATGCTGAAGAGCGATGATATTCCGGCTGATTACGGTGAGCATATTCTGTGCATTGATCGCATATTGGTTAGTGGAATTGGAAAGGATGCGGGTGGTGATGCTGTTGACCCACTCGTGCTCTTCACTTCATGCGGGTGAGTTGAAAGCGCTGTGCAAGCAGCTCCATTAACGTTATATCGCAGTGCGACAGGTGTTTTCTACGCGAGAAAATCAGCATTTGTAGAGGCCAACGAGTTCAATATCCAGGCTGTTGATTTGCAGCATCCTATCATCGAAATGGCAGACATGGGCGGAGGCAAGTTTGTTGTGACGCTCGATACATCCAGAGGAGCGCCAGATGCAGCTGCTGTACTCATGCTGAATTCTGAAGGAGAGGTGGGAGATTATGGCTCTATTGAGGTATTATCTGATAGATATACAGCTACAAATAAGTGAACAAAATTCGCTTGTGAGTACGTTGAATGGATTGACTGTGCAAGGTAAGACTGCTCTAACCTCTTACATATAATTCCGTCTAATATCATCCTCCAGGCGCAGAAAAGGATGTCAAGCACCTCGACCTCTACTCTCAACTAGCCCTGCAGCCCAAAGTCGAAGGCGAAGACAATTTAGACGAGGAGAAAGAACATCCAGAGAAGAGTGGAAGGACTGGTGAAAAGCGCAGGGCGAGGGAGGCAGCCAAGATGTCAAATCAAGCTAAAAAAAGCAAGACAGATGAGTCGACGTAAGGTAATAATCATCAATTATGAATAGAAATACATTATTTGTCTATATGTCCACACTTTTAATCGCAAGATTCATCCAACCAGCCGTCTCTCCACCGTTGCGGCACCTTATCGCAATCGAAAATATCCTTACCGAGACGGGCATTGACGTCGTTGTGCATCTGGCACCTGTACGTGTATGTGTAAGACTATTGCGCGACCTGAACACGTAAGGCAACTTACATCCACAATTCAAGCGCAGAGCGTGTATGAACCTGTGGCGGCTGTTGTTTGACGTAACTGCGTAGATGGCTAGCGCAATCACCGCATGGGTAGAAAGAGCCAACTGAGCTAATTAGATTCTTCATCTGAGTTTGCTCACTTATACTGGCTGTGTGGGGGTAGTATGATGCCGCTGTATGTAGGAATGTCCATGTCTGCCGACCGAGTTGGTCTGCGTCGACTGGACACCCGAATTTGTCTGCTAGTGTTGGTTGGGCTAGTTTTTGGATATTGCTTTGGGTTTGCGTGTTGTTGGTGGTGTTGTTGGTGTTGTTGGTGTTGTTGGTGTTGTTGGTGTTGTTGGTGTTGGTGATGTTGCTCCCACTCCCACTACTCCCACTACTCCCACTTCCCCCTTTTCTCTGCTGCTTGGACCAACTTTTAAACGAATTGCACACCTTGCATGGCTTCCCATCCGCACCAATTTCCATATTACTAACACAGATCACAGTTGGTATCAAAGTATAAATAATTATTTAATTTTATCATCTTTTAAAATGGCGTCTCACACACTACACACTTTCCAGCGCTGCTTGGCGATTTGCACATGCATATACTGCAGCTCCTCTCATTCCCGCCTTGCTTAGCCGCTGCCCAGAGGGGGTTGAGTGTGGCTGGTGTGGCTGATACTGTTGACGGCTGCTCGTCTACCCTTATGGCAAAGGAGATGGATGGTACTGCTTCCACCTTCTCCTTCAGCCCGGGTGCTATCTTGCTCACTGGGATATTAAGCAGCGAGTTGAAAGTAAATGAAGGTATCTCCGATACTGCTTTAGATTGTGCTTTGTCCTTGGCGTCTTGTGGAGGTGGTGTAGTTGCGGTTGTGGCTGTGGTTGATGATTCTGGTGTTGGTGTCGAAGCTGGGAAAATGTTGACAAATGTGGAGCTCTTGTTGTCTTTCGCTTCACCTTCAACCTTGTTCACTTGCGCTTCCTTAGCTGCAGTTGAGAATGAGGGGAAAGATGGGAATTGCGATGGTTGAGGTTGTGCTTTACCCTTCTTCACTTGATCCTCTTCAAGTTCCTTATCATCGTCCGATGCCTTGGCTGGCTCTTCATCTTTTGCTTCTTCCACTTCATCCATCTCCTCTTCGTCTTGTTCCAGTTCGTCGTGTTCCATTTCGTCACTCTCTTCTTCCTTCTCCTGTTCGACATCCTCTTCTTTCTCACCATCTACATCTACATCACTGTCACTGTCGATGTCTATGGTTTCAGTGGTTTTTGCAGGTGGCTTAGGCGAGGGTGGAGTTGGTTGCACAGACGAGGCGAAAGTAGGCTTCGGCTGAGAGGAATGTGATTGAGCGAGTGAGCTATTTTGTGGCTGTGTCTGTCCGAAAGCGCGATCGGTTGACTGCATCTCTAAAGCCTGCTTCTTCGGTGATGGTTCGGCTTTAGCTGCGAGTGGACCGAATGCTCCCGTTTCAGGCTGCGAACGACCTTCAGCTTTATCAAAGGAGGGTTTGCTCAGGTCGTTAGATGTCGCTGAACCTTTCTGCAACTCGTTCTCGTCAGCTTTTCTCTTGTTTTTCTATTAACGTCAGCTGGAGTGATCAAGGATGCTAATTTCACCTACGGATGGATCTGTCTGTTCGATCAGATCGAGTGCGCTTACGTTTGCACCTTTGTTTTCTTCTGATTTCTCTCCATCAGTCTTCTTCTCGGGAGCAACACTCTTCCTAGAATTAGAATCACGCAGCTTAGATGGTCGAGGTGTACGAGACTTAGAAATACGAGCGACAGGGTTGTTATTTTGGTATGGGTTGATGGTCTCATTTGATGGTTTGTTAGAAACAGGTTCATCACCCAAAACACCCAAAACAGCATCAGCAGCTCTACTACTGAGCTTTGAAGGTGTGTTGTGATCCTCTCTCTGCTTGCTTTTCTCAGGTGAGGGTGATTGAGATGATTGAGATTCAGCCGTTTGTACTTGACGGAGTGGAGAGGGTCGAACGACGGTAGCGGGTTTAGAAAACCGTGGAACACTCAAATGGGACGATTTTGAAGGAGTGGAAGTGAGTTTTGGTTGTGATTGCTGGTGTTTTTTGTTTTCTACCTGCTGCTGCTGCTGTTGTTGTTTTGAGTCTGCGTTTGAATCATCAGTTCTGCGCCTCTTGCCCGTGTCGATGGGGAGTGATGAACCAACGCCGATGGATCTGCCTACATTTTCCAACGAGCTTGAGCTGTTTCTTCTATTTGATTGGGATGGGCTGCCGAAACCAGCGCCCATGTAGATAGGTCTCTTCCTTGCAGATAAAGAACCACCGAGGCTTTGTCTGGAGTTTCTCGAACTTACGCTGCTTCTCTGGGAGAGGTTAGAACGGGCAGGGGATAAGAAAGCGTTAACAGAGCTAGTTTGTGGTTTGCGTGTGGGGGTAGTGGAAGTGCCTGGAGAGAATAGGGCGACGGAGGGGATGTTCTGTGATTGGTCGAGTGGAGGTTGTTGGATTGAGCTGCCGATCAATTTGAAACATTGAACGGCTTCCTCAGAGGTGAGTGAGCGGTTCCCCTTGTCTTTAAAAAAGTTGGATAGCAGGTTGTTGGTTTGCTGTGAATCATCTGGCTGTCTCCAGTCGATGAGATCTTCAGTGGGATGAGCGCCTAGTTCCTCGATATCCATTGGTGAGTCAATGTGGGCATCTTTAAGGCCATCTCCGTGATTGTCTCCGGAGCCGTGAGCATCGCCGGAGCCATCACCATCACCATCACCATCACCAGTGCCATCTCTATAACTCGATTTGAAGGGAGATGAAATTAAATTATAAAAAGAGCTAAAACCAGTCGATCTCCTTTTTTTATTTTGAGTTTTTGAGTAAGGACTCGAGTGGTTCATGGTTGTAAGTGAACAACCAACAATGCCTTCTCCAGAATCGCCAGGCCAATTTCCACTCATCGACGTTGATCCTCACTTCAGCAGAGTCGTTAGATTTTTCAGGCCATCTGACTACGTTGCCTGGGGTGCTCTGTCCACGGCCACCCCTGGTTTGTACTACGCTTGGGAACAAATCAACCCAACAAACGCCATCAAGCAAGTCAAAGTTAAATTGGCTGTGCCTACCACTCTCGGCGTGATCGGCGGCTTCTTACTCGCCTATCAAAGATCGTCCTTCAGATTCTTTGGTTGGACTGAGAATGGTCAAGAGCAGGAGAAAGATATGGCTGAGCTATCATCCAGAGCCAACCAAGGCAAACCCCTCTACGGTGACACTGGCCTCTCCCCATACCTCCAAGGCGTCGCTCACAGGAACTCTGCCTTCTCTCAACTCAAATTGGCAACTATCCCGTGGTTTAACTTTGCTAACCATAGCCATCACGGTGTCGACGCTGACAAGTACTCAAATAACTAATTTGTACAAATTTTCATCCATTTCCCCCTTCTTCTCGTACCTCCATGAGCTGCACATGTCCGCCGTCGATACCAGCATCTCCCACGCGCACACCGCCGTATCCACCCACTTCCGCTCTCTCTCTCTATCGCTATCTCTCTGGTTCGTTCTCATCTCCACCGCCATCTCCGCAGGTATCATCTCTGCTTGTCTAGATATCATCATCGACTGGCTTTCTGATCTCAGGCAAGGCCACTGCACGTCTCTCTTCCTGCGCTCACTCAAGAGCTGCTGTCCGATGCACCACATGTGCGACGATTGGATCGAGCACACGACGGCGACGAATAACATCATCGCCTTTCTTGTCTACGTCTTCTCTGCCATACTCTTGGCACTCGCATCAGCTACTCTCGTCGCTAAACTCGCTCCACGCGCTTTCCACACGGGCATCCCCGAAATCAAAGCTATTCTTGGCGGTATTGCTATACGAGATTTCTTATCAATGCGCACGCTCGTCGTGAAAGCTGTTGCGCTGTCCCTCAGTGTAGCCTCTGGGCTGTCTCTTGGCAAAGAAGGGCCACTGATACACGTCACCTGCGCTCTTGCCGAGTTGTACATGGGGGTGGTACGCAGGATCGGTGTAGGTGTAGGTGACTGGACAAATTCCGGCGCGCGTCAGCGTCAGACATACGCAGCTGCTGCAGCTGCTGGTGTGAGTGTAGCATTCGGTGCACCATTAGGAGGTGTGTGTCAACTTAACAGCCATCACCCTGCCCCCTCACCCTCAACTGCACAGGCGTCATGTTCGCATTGGAAGAACTTGACATAAATCTCTTCCCTACCAATACTCTCTGGCAGGCGTTTGTTTGTGCTGCACTCGCCGCAGTAACGCTGCAGTGGTGCAACCCATTCGGGACGGGGAAGCTAGTCCTCTTCTCCGTTTCTACTAACCAGTCTTGGAAGCAGTTTGAATTGGTCTTCTGGCTCCTCCTGGGCGCACTCGGCGGGTTGGCGGGTGTTGCGCTTTTACGGCTTAACCTATTCTTCGCTAGGTTGCGCCGCGATACCACTCTCAGACGCTACCCTATCCTCGAAACGACCGCCGTCGCTCTCCTTACTGCTCTGCTGAGTTATGCGAGTATCCTGACGAGGTGTGTGGGTTTATTTTAGAGTGCTGTGTTGCTATAGTGCTATTTTGCTCTATTGCTATGCTATGCTCTTCAACACTCATACTCACACTCACTGACACGCTCACAGAGTGCAGAACACTTCACTAGTCGCAGCGCTCTTGCAGGAGTGTTCCAATACCAACACCACATCAGCACCAACGCTACAGCTACATGCCACAGTGCTGCTTTGCAACAGTGACCGGCGTGTAAGCGTGACAGTTATGCTACTGGCCTACGCTGCCGTGGTGAAGCTGCTCCTTACAGCCTACACATTCGGTCTCTCTGTACCTGCCGGTATATTTCTCCCGGGTCTCTCCATCGGTGCGTGTATGGGACGCGCTCTCGGTGGATTACTCGAATTGGTCGAAGAGCGCTACTCGACGCTAGCTATTTTCGCCGATTGTCATGGTGCGAGTGATGGTGGCGGGTGTATCCGCCCCGGTCTCTACGCTACTGTCGGCGCTGCTGCAACTCTCGCTGGTATTACGCGTATGACTGGTGAGTGAGGTTTTATTTTGTGGTGTTTTCTTCCTTTTACTTACTTTAATCTTTATCTCATCTCTCATCTCACCTTCTACAGTCTCGCTCGTCGTCATCATCTTCGAACTTACTGGCGCACTCTCGCACGTCGTCCCGATCATGATCGCGGTGATGACGGCCAAGTGGGTAGCAGATGCCTTTGGGAAGCAGGGTGTGTTCACGGCATGGATTTCTCACCAGCAGTACACATATATCCCGCAGGTGGATATTGATGTTGGGTTGGGGGTACGGGGCGCGAGTGTCCGTGATATGCACGGCGTGTGTGCGCGCGACGTCGCTCTGTCCCATTATCCCACTCTGCCCGCTGATGGGGAGATTAGGGAATTGATGGAGCTGACGCGTGGTAATGATGATGATGATGCTCACACTCACACTCATGGCTACGCTATCATTACCCGCAACGATAGTCTGCTTGTTGGTTGGGTTCAGGCAGAGAAGATTGTTGCTATTGGTGGTGTAGTGGAGTCTAATTCAACCATCCACTCTTCTTTCTCCTTCAACCAAACAGAAACCCCAGACACACTCGATCTTAGCACATATGTCGATACAGCCCCGCTTTTCTTCTACGCGTCGACGCCAATTAACGTGATTGTAGCGACGTTCCAGAGTATGGGGGTGGATAGAGTGTTTGTTGTGAGCCAGCCAGGCACGCTAGTTGGAGTGATTGAGCGTGTACAGATATCGCAGCTGATGGCAGGCAGAGCGGGTGGATTGGGGCTGGGCTGGCCGGCATGTCTCACCAGAAGCAAAGGGAGAAAGGAATATGAGCAAGTGGAGATGGTTGAGCAGGCAGGGGAATACCAATTAGAAGAAGGAGGATGAAGGAACGTGAAAAAGATGGAAAAAGACAACAAAATGTTTTGTTTTATTTAAGATGACGATATCCGATCAAGATAGATCAAGTAGACAGCTCTTGTACTTTCTCAGCATTGTTCATATCCTGCTCTCGTTGCTGCTTGTGCATATAAATTCTAGCAAGTTGAGTGAGACCAGTACAACCGACGCCAAAGTTAACAGCCGCGAGAGAGTAGTTTATGGGTTTGATGACAAGCGAGTACCTGACCCATATGAAACCAGTAGCAGCGAGTGCTAAATTCTGATTTAAACTCAGTTTATCTGCAGGTTTATTGAAGTCTTTGAGTCCGGCAGCTACTAGAGCCCATTTCATCAACGGTGCCCAGAAGAAAACAGTTTTTGGGCCTAAATTAGATAAATAAGGGGATTGCTATTGAAATATAATATCCCCACCCGCTGCCGAGTTCATAAATCTACCAAATCCAGATCCAGACGCAGAAGCCATTGTGATTGTTGATAAAGAACAGCCAAAAAAACCAAATTTAAATGAAATTCACTCAGGCGTTGAATATTAATCTGGTACCAGAATGGAGTGATTATTATCTCGGTTATGAACAGCTCAAGAGGAGGATATATCAGCTAGAACGGGACTTGGAGACGCAGCAACCACGACAGCAACCACGACAGCAACCAAGTGATATTGAAACTCCTCTTCTATCCGCTACAGACTCGCCTGCGATTCGTTTATTCAGTCCAATCCTTGAAAAAGAAGTTGACAGGATTACCACCTTTTATAAGGATAAAGAGAGTGAATTAGATAGTGATCGACAAAGCCTCTTTAATTTCATTCATGCGACTGAGTTGGATGTCGTAAGGAATAGCCAGGATTTTAGACCTTCGAGAGATGACACCCGCGATACATACAATACACATAATACACACAATACGCACGACAATAACGATCATAGCGATAGCGACGACGATGATGACGATATCACAAAGCATACTCAACCCAAGACTCACTTTGCAAGACGATCTTTCAATGACGATTTTCACCATGATCAGCGTGATACAAACGTCGAAAACAACCCACCCAGACGCAAATCTATCGCTGTCATCAGAAGGCCCTCCCTTGATCTCCTTGATGACGACATTGAGGACTCTATCTGGACATCAAAATCCAATTACGCCATCGACCAGCGCATTATGATTAAAAAACGTCTCACTGAGCTCTTTGTGCAGTTCAGCGAGCTCAAGCAGTTTGCACAAATAAACGAAACTGGTTGCAAGAAAATTCTCAAAAAGTAAGCCACTCTGTGCCTTTAGACAACCTCTCACCCCACGCCACACTAAAGGTTTGACAAGATCACTGAAAACGATCTCAAAACCTCCTTTATGGATAATGTTGTCCTCGTCGCTTACCCTTTCACAGAAGAGACCAAGAAGAGAGTTGACAACATACTCGACCAGTTTATTGATGTATATGCACGCGTTGTTACCCTCAATAATCGCGCTGTCGCACACAATCAACTCAAAGCGCGTGAGTGATGTTTTTGATGAGTACTCATCACTCAACCTCTATAGATCTTCGCGAGTATGTCGTACTCGAGCGTAACAGTGTGTGGAGACAGGTGAGTTAAGCATCTCTACACAAGAACACCCCTCACACCTCTCAGATGGTTGGCCAGGAGCGTAGATCGCAAGGTGTTCAGATTCAGTCGCAGTCGTTGACCGAAAAGAAACCTGCGACTGGTATTGCCAAGTACATTCCTCCCTGGCTCACCTCGAAGATGGTCGGGCTCCTTACTGCCGTCGTCGTCTTTATCACTCTCCTCAATCTCGACATATTCGACAAAGGCGAGGAGAATTGTCTCGCGCTTCTTGTGTTTTGTGTTATACTATGGTCATCAGAAGCAGTGCCGCTATTCGTCACATCGCTGTCTGTGCCTCTCTTCATAGTCTTACTGCGCGTCGTCAAGTACCCCGATGGTCATAGAATGGAAGCGGAGGATGCAGCCAAGTATATACTATCCCAGATGATGAACCCAACCATATTCCTTCTCATTGGCGGCTTCACCATTGCTGCTGCACTATCCAAGCATGGCATTGACAGGGTTTTAGCCCTACGAATCCTCAACCTAGCAGGCACAGATCCCAAGCTAGTCCTGCTAGCACAGATGGGAGTTGCATGTTTCTCTGCGATGTGGATCTCCAACGTAGCCGCGCCTGTGCTATGCTACTCGCTCGCACAACCGCTCCTTCGCAAATTGCCACCCAAGTCTCCCTACGCACGGAGTATGATTCTCGGCATAGCGCTTGCAGCCAACATCGGTGGGCAGGCATCACCTATAGCGTCACCGCAGAATGTGATAGCGCTCGATGCGATGGATCCACCGATAGATTGGCTGCAGTGGTTCGCTATTGCACTACCAGTCGCGTCTACTTCGCTCGTCCTGATCTGGGGTCTGCTCCTCCTCAGCTACGGCAGCGGGGAGGGCACCGTCATCACCAAGCTTAAACCTTCAAAAGACAGCTTCACATGGACGCAGTGGTATATCGCTGCTGTTACTATCCTCACTATCGTCTTGTGGTGTGTTGCTCACTCTCTTCAAAGCGTCATAGGCGATATGGGCATCATCGCTATACTCCCCCTCATCGCCTTCTTCGGAACAGGCATCCTCTCCCCGCACGACTTCAACTCATTCCCGTGGACTATTGTATATCTCGCCATGGGCGGTATTGCCCTCGGCAAGGGTGTGATGAGCTCCGGACTGCTTGATAGTGCTGATGACGCAGTCAAGGAGATGGTCGGCGGGTTTGGGGTGTGGAGGATACTTGTTATTTTCTCAGTCTTGGCTACCGTGGTCGCCACATTCATCTCGCACACTATCGCTGCTGTCCTGCTGGTGCCGATCGCGGCACAAGTCGGTCAAAACCTCTCCCCTCCTCATGGTCGACTGCTCATCATGGCAACGGCACTCATCTGCTCAGCTGGAATGGGTCTCCCTGTCAGTGGATTCCCTAACATAGCCGCTATCAATCAGGAAGACAGCATGGGTGAGCGGTACCTGACAACCAACGACTTTCTTAAGAATGGCCTGCCGGCGACTGTGCTAGCAGCTGCAGTTGTCGATACGATAGGCTATTTGATAATGAGATTGATGGGGTTGTAGTGTGTAGTGGGTAGTTATAAATATATGTACAAAACAATTCGTTCACTTTCTACTTGCTAGATGGCGATCCACTGCGTCTTCTGTCGTGATTCTGCTTCTGCTTCTGCTTAGCTGCCCCATCTTGGAATCCAGGTGGGGGAACTGAGAAGGCAAAATCAGCATGGACAACCTTCTCGAGCAGTTCAGTGCCGCTAGCGTGATCGACTGCCTTCTTTGCGTCTTCGTACGACTCGAATTCGAGCAGAGCGTATCCCTTCACGTACCCCGACCTTCTATCCAAATTGAGGTGTAAGTTACGAATATGGCCGAAGTCTGCGAATTTATCCTGTACATCCTCCTCCGAAGCCTCTTCGTGGATATTCGTGACGAGAATTACCCATCCCTCAACGGCTGTGCGAGTCTTGTTAGCCTGCCTTGTCAGCCTTGCGTTGCGTGCACCACCCACATTTTGCAGCTTTGCTATCGAAAGCCATTTGATCCTCTACACGCTCGTAGTCGCCATCTCTTTTTGCATCTGTTGCGCGTGAGTTGATGCTCTCTCTCTTGCTCAAGTGTACACCCACCTCTATCGCCATCGCCTCCGCCGAATCCTCTCCCTTTTCTGGACATGGCAGCTGTAGGCGTGTAAGTGGGGTGTATGTGCTCGCTCGCTGCCCTTACGGTCCCTATCGAGCTGCATATTCGTATCGGACATGCTGAGTGTGTGTGTTCTGGGTGTTCTGGGTGTTGGGATGTAAGAGCGAGTTTATCCATGAAATTGTATCCGATGGTAATGTTGTAGTGATGTGAGCTGTGGAATCTTTATTGGCGCTATTTCTCCAAAGCCTTTCCTCCAAGCTGGCAGATGTCGCTATTGATGCCCACTTGCTCACTACTCATTGATAAATAATAACAAGGATTTATAAATATGTGTATAATAAATTATAGTGTTTTAAAGCAGTGGCTATACCCATCCATCCTTTACACCGCTTACGACGGAGACGAGCGGAATGCGACAGTAACGGATCTGTTCATCTGCTGATGGCTGATGCATGGGATTTGCACACCTAATATCTATAGAACCACTAACCTGCATGTATTGCTTCCGAACGTTGCTTCCGCTCTTGGCTGCCCCAGCCCCAGCCAATCATAGCACACAATTCACCGATCAAATCACTAACATCACTCGTGTAAGCCTTATAATCAGCGCACTGCTTACATTCACCACCCTCATCACCAATATGTCCAACCAGCCTGATATGCAGGCCCCTCAGAAGCCCCGCCTCGACAGGCTGTAAAAAAACAGCAGTGATGTCATAATCTCGATCGACCTCCTTTTGAGAATGGTCTGAATGCTCAAATCGCGTAAACAAATTAGAACAAGGCAAATTAATACTGAGATAGATTTATGGGAAGTGCTACCGCTCAAAACTCCCCTCGAATCAGCTAAAATACACCCTGAAATGCCAAAGAGTCGCCGAGAACATCGTCCAAGGAATGCTGAGGCGTGATAAAGAAAATAAAAATAAAAACATACATACATTGCCATTTAAATTTACAACACACTGATCTCAGTATCATCGTGATCTGTACCTGAAATGAACAAAAAACTTGATGACGACGATTATCAGTGAATATCAAAGATATTTAAGTTTATTTGCGCGCTCGGTTATTTTTCAAGTATAACGACCACTATCTGTTAAACAGAATACAATGATTTCCTCAAGAGCAGCAACATCCTCACAACAAACTGAATCCCGTTGCAGACGTGAATCTGTCAACAAGCTCGAGAAATCTCTTACACAGATATTGAAGGAGCAGTCCTCCTCAACGCAAGAGAGAACAGTGAAGCCTCTTCCAGGTGCGAGCGATGTCGGTATGATCCTCAGCGACGTCGACGGCACTCTCCTCGACGACGAGCACGATGTCCACCCTCGCACCTCAGAAGCTATCAGATACATCAGACAGAACCATCCAGAAATTCCTGTGATCCCAGTTACTGGAAAGCAACGCGCCTCGTGCGATCTTGTTGCGAAACGCTGTGGCTTGGAGGACATGCCATCTGGCTGCTGTCACGGCTCAATCATCTACACTCCCGAAGGCCAGATCGAGTCTCAGTTGGGAATTGACCCGGCTGTCGTAGTTGACGTCACAAATGTTCTTATACAGAGAAACCGCTCCGTTTTTATCTACGAACATGACTCTGTCAACTGCGTCGCTCTTCAAGGACACCCTACCCTCGACTTCTACGAGATCACCCGCGGATACGACCCTAGCATTAGAGATGTTCGCGGAACTAACTATATGGACAGAGTCGCTTCCGGCCAAGTCGTCGTAACTAAAATGTTCTTGCCAATGGAAGTGTCTATCGTTCCAGATGAAATGGATCACCTCAACTCTGTCTTCAAGAATGGTGAGGACTACAGAATGACTCGCGCATTGAAAGATATCATCGAATTGATTCCTGCAAAGATCGACAAATCTGTCGCCCTTGATCACTTCTCCAAGATGTACAACGTCGAAAAAGGAAAAATCATGACTTTCGGTGATGGTGAAAACGACTGTGGCATGTTCAAGGCATCTGGAATGTCTGTGTCAATGGGTAATGCTATGGCCTTACCAGCTCAAGTCAGCGATTTCTCCACAAAGACTAACAATGAAGGCGGTGTTGGCTGTATTCTTGATGCTATCTTCCGGTTAGTGATTCGTTATGTCTTAGAAACAGTCCTAACTCCTCACACAGTCCAGAGTACAAGTACAAGTCAGACGTTCAAGAAACCGATTCTGGTTACGCCTCAGCAGCTTAATTAAGCTCGTATACCACTCCATAGATTCGTCTTTATTTTGTCTATCTATTCGTGTATCGCAATTTTATTTTTATAAGTTTTCAAGCTATTCGATCGTTATCTTGGATATTAAAAACTATTTTGAAAAACACATAATTCACTAATCAAGATAAATATCTTGGCAATATCTCAATTTTTACCCTTCATGACGCGTGTTGCTCTTTCCGACGTGCGGCGTCCACACAAGTAAATGTTGGCTCCAGGAAAAAGCATAACAAGCCTTACATGTACTTACATACTTAGCAAATGAGTGCGGCTCCTATATTTACATTCAAGTGGTTAAATCAGAATTAGTCTATGAGAATACAATGGCTTGTTGAACATGCACTTTTTATGCGTTGGGTTTTCAAGAAGGCCATAATCACAATGACCCTAAAGTATTTTGCTCATGAAATTACCTCTGCAGTCATCGTGCTCGTGTTTGTCATCGTGGTGCTTGTGTTCACCTTTGCGTTCGCCCTTGTGGTTGATTGCCTCCTCGGAGTAGAGCTCTGGGTAGTACTCGCCGCTTGAATTGAGTTCTTTCTCCTCTTCGTGGGTCAAATGGTGGAAGTCAATGCGACCATCGTGCTGTACTGTGTGAGAGTCTAAAGACAAACAGCATAACAACCTACTTTATCTCTAACACGGAGAGCTCTCTTGCCGGCACCAAAACCTCTGACATCAAGAGGAGCAGCCGTAGAAACGGAGAGGACGGCAGCGACTACGAGGAGGGCGATTGATGATCTCACTGTTGCAAGGTGTGTTGTGTTGTAGTATAAAAAGAATTAAAAGGCCTTTTTAGCTTGCTCGTTAGTCGTCCACACTTTTTAGCGTCGAACTAAAGTGTTCTATTTTTTTTTCACAGTCCGGCACACCCAACTGAAAGGGATTCATGTTACGTGAAAGAGTATGACGTAAAAGAACTGAGCAGGGCATTTAGTTTTCAAGATAAAGATAACTATATAATGCATGAACAAATTGCACAAGAATGAAACACTTTTGAAGTTTGATGATGAAGATTTTCAACAAGTATGCTTTGCAAGCTACTTTCACATCTGAAACAGTATAGCATGACACAGTCCTTATCAAGCATTGTGTGATGCAGACTACATATTATTCGGCGAAAATTTTAACAACTACGCCTGTAAGTCTTCATAAATAAATTCATTATTATACAGTCTATGCAATGCAATATGTGTCATTTACCCGGCGGCACGAAATCTTTGCTGAGATCAATGCCTTGCTCCTGCAAGTGTGTATTTGTGATCTTGACGCGCCTATTTGAGCTGCCCGCCTTCTTTCTCTTCTTTTGCGCCTGCTGTGGCGCTGCTGGAGCCACCTCCGTCTTTGATGTACGTTTGAGACCGGCTGAGAAGGGTGAGGTTGAGTACAACTAGTTACAAAGCTTTGCTCACCATCGTCAAGATCTCTAGCAACTTCTGATTCAACTGGCACGTTCAAGCTGTTCCACAGTCCTCTAAACTCTGTTGAGTTGAGTTAGGATATTCAGTCTCCTTCTGGTAACCATATAACCCTCACCATCCTGTACTTCAATCGCGTCCTTGACATTGTTCTCAAACACAGTTCTCATCCCTTGTCCGTCTTTACCCCTCAACACGATAATTTCTTTCTCGCGTTCTAGTTCATCGATAGCTTGTGGAGCTCCAGGCCATGATTCCTTGAGTATGTTGACACGCATACCTCCTCTCGGCGCATAAGCTTTGACATGTGCCAGCAGTTCAGCCTTAGATTTCATCGGGAAATCATGGCGATAGCTGTAAAGATCGAGCTTGGTGTCGTGCTGCACTCTGTCATGCGAGTTGAATAAATCGAGTAAACCAGGTGTCCGTATGAGTTCTATACCAGATCTAACGATAAGATCTTCTAATCGAATAGGAGCATTGTAATCCTGTAAGTATGTGAATATTCCGTCAACGTATGCTCATAATGACAATCTACCTTGATGAACTGGACGAGATAGGCGAGCTGTGAGTTGATATGCATACCTACACCGGTATCACGAGGCTGTGAGAATATCTCTGCTGGTTTATCAGAATACAAAAGGCAGACTAGTGGCAGCATCACCATTATTCTTCTTCCGCCTGGCAGCGGCAGCGGCAGCAGCTTGCTGCGAGCCTGCTATGGGTATACCGTCATCGCCGTTTGCACCAGCACCAGGCGTCGGTGCAACGCTGGGAGATCTCGATTCGACACCACCCCACGCTTGCGGCTGCTGGCTCGCAACTTTCTTTCTAAAAGCCTGGGCTTGAGCTTGCAATGACCTATTAAGGGCATCAATAAACCAATTTAATATGTATCTCGTTGCTGTTAGATTTACATTTCTGCCAAAGATGATGATAGTCGAGGTGAAAGGGAGATAAGGCAGGGGTGGTTGGTTGATTACTGGATAGATTTATTTGGTCTACAGAATTTGAGTAGATGTCAGATTATTGAGGCCAACATTCATCTCTTACTCATCCACAGCCTTTGTCTTCCTCCTCTACGGCCACCACTACCACCCACTCATCCAGTCAGAATCAAATTGAAATTGTCCGTGTGGTTATACAATACACATTTGTTAATTTAGAGAATCATTTTGTTCATTGGGATTTTAAGCGAGCGTGTCCAACTGCTGTTTCAATTGAAAAGACATGGATCGTATTTGCCAGAGGCGATAAACTTCTCCTTCTCCTCAGGAGTGTATCCACACTTGTCCTTTTGGACCTGGCTTCCTTTCTCCTTGTTTCCACTTTCTGGCTCCTTTGGTGATTCTTTTTGATTTTCCTCTGGTTGCTTTGCTGGTGTTTCTTTTTTATTATCCTCTGGCTGCTTGGATGGCTCAGATGATTCCTTGTTTTCATTACCTTCCTTCTTGCCTTCTTCTGGCTGCTTTGATTCGCCCTTGCTCTCCCCGTTGTTTGGGTAGTTACCGGCACCCCAAAGGTCTTCGATCCACTGACCGCTTTGAATAGCTTTGTCAAGAGATCCGTTTTGGTCAGCACCACGCTTGACCTGGACATTGGTGAGCACGCTTTTGCTTATTATTCAACATATACTCACCTCCATCTTGGCGGATGCGAGGACCGTTACTGCGAGAAGACCGACAATGTAAGTTAATTTCATTGCTCGATTGTAGTTGTAAGTAGAAGAGCAGTGGAAACTGATCTCCTTTAAATAGCTTAATATTTGGTAGATGCCGATTTTTTGTGGGATTTAATTTCCTTAGCCTTCCTTTTTTGGTTATCCGGCGAATTGAAGTATGTCTCACAAGACTAGATGCGTTCATACCTACCAGTATGGTAAGAGTTCTGCACAGCTGCGCCACTGAGCAGTTGCTATTAAAGTTTAAGATAAGCTTTTAATAAAGTGTCTCTGCATCAATGTTTCAAAGGTAGCGTGAAAATATTAATGAAACGCAGTACGTTCTACAATGGTATGCGATGGTATTTAGTGCTCTTCGTTGTGCATGTCTTTCTCGTCATGCTTGTTTTCCTTGTGGTCATCGTGCTCGTGTTTGTCGTCGTGGTGCTTGTGTTCACCTTTGTGTTCGCCCTTGTGGTTGATTGCCTCCTCGGAGTAGAGCTCTGGGTAGTACTCGCCGCTTGAATTGAGTTCTTTCTCCTCTTCGTGGGTCAAATGGTGGAAGTCAATGCGACCATCGTGCTGTACTGTGTGAGAGTCTAAAGACAAACAGCATAACAACCTACTTTATCTCTAACACGGAGAGCTCTCTTGCCGGCACCAAAACCTCTGACATCAAGAGGAGCAGCCGTAGAAACGGAGAGGACGGCAGCGACTACGAGGAGGGCGATTGATGATCTCACTGTTGCAAGGTGTGTTGTGTTGTAGTATAAAAAGAATTAAAAGGCCTTTTTAGCTTGCTCGTTAGTCGTCCACACTTTTTAGCGTCGAACTAAAGTGTTCTATTTTTTTTTCACAGTCCGGCACACCCAACTGAAAGGGATTCATGTTACGTGAAAGAGTATGACGTAAAAGAACTGAGCAGGGCATTTAGTTTTCAAGATAAAGATAACTATATAATGCATGAACAAATTGCACAAGAATGAAACACTTTTGAAGTTTGATGATGAAGATTTTCAACAAGTATGCTTTGCAAGCTACTTTCACATCTGAAACAGTATAGCATGACACAGTCCTTATCAAGCATTGTGTGATGCAGACTACATATTATTCGGCGAAAATTTTAACAACTACGCCTGTAAGTCTTCATAAATAAATTCATTATTATACAGTCTATGCAATGCAATATGTGTCATTTACCCGGCGGCACGAAATCTTTGCTGAGATCAATGCCTTGCTCCTGCAAGTGTGTATTTGTGATCTTGACGCGCCTATTTGAGCTGCCCGCCTTCTTTCTCTTCTTTTGCGCCTGCTGTGGCGCTGCTGGAGCCACCTCCGTCTTTGATGTACGTTTGAGACCGGCTGAGAAGGGTGAGGTTGAGTACAACTAGTTACAAAGCTTTGCTCACCATCGTCAAGATCTCTAGCAACTTCTGATTCAACTGGCACGTTCAAGCTGTTCCACAGTCCTCTAAACTCTGTTGAGTTGAGTTAGGATATTCAGTCTCCTTCTGGTAACCATATAACCCTCACCATCCTGTACTTCAATCGCGTCCTTGACATTGTTCTCAAACACAGTTCTCATCCCTTGTCCGTCTTTACCCCTCAACACGATAATTTCTTTCTCGCGTTCTAGTTCATCGATAGCTTGTGGAGCTCCAGGCCATGATTCCTTGAGTATGTTGACACGCATACCTCCTCTCGGCGCATAAGCTTTGACATGTGCCAGCAGTTCAGCCTTAGATTTCATCGGGAAATCATGGCGATAGCTGTAAAGATCGAGCTTGGTGTCGTGCTGCACTCTGTCATGCGAGTTGAATAAATCGAGTAAACCAGGTGTCCGTATGAGTTCTATACCAGATCTAACGATAAGATCTTCTAATCGAATAGGAGCATTGTAATCCTGTAAGTATGTGAATATTCCGTCAACGTATGCTCATAATGACAATCTACCTTGATGAACTGGACGAGATAGGCGAGCTGTGAGTTGATATGCATACCTACACCGGTATCACGAGGCTGTGAGAATATCTCTGCTGGTTTATCAGAATACAAAAGGCAGACTAGTGGCAGCATCACCATTATTCTTCTTCCGCCTGGCAGCGGCAGCGGCAGCAGCTTGCTGCGAGCCTGCTATGGGTATACCGTCATCGCCGTTTGCACCAGCACCAGGCGTCGGTGCAACGCTGGGAGATCTCGATTCGACACCACCCCACGCTTGCGGCTGCTGGCTCGCAACTTTCTTTCTAAAAGCCTGGGCTTGAGCTTGCAATGACCTATTAAGGGCATCAATAAACCAATTTAATATGTATCTCGTTGCTGTTAGATTTACATTTCTGCCAAAGATGATGATAGTCGAGGTGAAAGGGAGATAAGGCAGGGGTGGTTGGTTGATTACTGGATAGATTTATTTGGTCTACAGAATTTGAGTAGATGTCAGATTATTGAGGCCAACATTCATCTCTTACTCATCCACAGCCTTTGTCTTCCTCCTCTACGGCCACCACTACCACCCACTCATCCAGTCAGAATCAAATTGAAATTGTCCGTGTGGTTATACAATACACATTTGTTAATTTAGAGAATCATTTTGTTCATTGGGATTTTAAGCGAGCGTGTCCAACTGCTGTTTCAATTGAAAAGACATGGATCGTATTTGCCAGAGGCGATAAACTTCTCCTTCTCCTCAGGAGTGTATCCACACTTGTCCTTTTGGACCTGGCTTCCTTTCTCCTTGTTTCCACTTTCTGGCTCCTTTGGTGATTCTTTTTGATTTTCCTCTGGTTGCTTTGCTGGTGTTTCTTTTTTATTATCCTCTGGCTGCTTGGATGGCTCAGATGATTCCTTGTTTTCATTACCTTCCTTCTTGCCTTCTTCTGGCTGCTTTGATTCGCCCTTGCTCTCCCCGTTGTTTGGGTAGTTACCGGCACCCCAAAGGTCTTCGATCCACTGACCGCTTTGAATAGCTTTGTCAAGAGATCCGTTTTGGTCAGCACCACGCTTGACCTGGACATTGGTGAGCACGCTTTTGCTTATTATTCAACATATACTCACCTCCATCTTGGCGGATGCGAGGACCGTTACTGCGAGAAGACCGACAATGTAAGTTAATTTCATTGCTCGATTGTAGTTGTAAGTAGAAGAGCAGTGGAAACTGATCTCCTTTAAATAGCTTAATATTTGGTAGATGCCGATTTTTTGTGGGATTTAATTTCCTTAGCCTTCCTTTTTTGGTTATCCGGCGAATTGAAGTATGTCTCACAAGACTAGATGCGTTCATACCTACCAGTATGGTAAGAGTTCTGCACAGCTGCGCCACTGAGCAGTTGCTATTAAAGTTTAAGATAAGCTTTTAATAAAGTGTCTCTGCATCAATGTTTCAAAGGTAGCGTGAAAATATTAATGAAACGCAGTACGTTCTACAATGGTATGCGATGGTATTTAGTGCTCTTCGTTGTGCATGTCTTTCTCGTCATGCTTGTTTTCCTTGTGGTCATCGTGCTCGTGTTTGTCGTCGTGGTGCTTGTGTTCACCTTTGTGTTCGCCCTTGTGGTTGATTGCCTCCTCGGAGTAGAGCTCTGGGTAGTACTCGCCGCTTGAATTGAGCTCTTTCTCCTCATCGTGGGTCAA